GGTGGTAAATGCCGTAATTAGGTCATAAAGCCTTCGTCCTATACCATATATTACAAATATATGCATGAAATATAAATAATTAAATATATATAGGAATTGAAATGATAATACTTAAAATGATTTACGAAAAAGCCTAAAAACTGGAAAACCAAAGCTCGGACAAGTATTATGCTTTTTAGCGTTGTTGCTTCTGTATGGTTTAATAACTTCACTATATTATAAGCAGCACAATTATATACGATAAAGACTGGTGTTATTTAAAATTGTTGGAAACTTTAGTTATAACTTTTGCCTATAAGATGATGATTTCACCAGCCGAAACGCATAAGTGTAACACTTCCACACCACTACGGTGTTGCAAGGTCGTGGCGCTTACCCGGACGGACCTGCCCATTCGTGCAACAGTGAAGACTGTTACGTGGCCCTTAGATGGTAAACTCGGTACCGCAGAGACAGTCCATTCGCTCTTGACTCGCGGGCTAATTATAAACAGGCGGGAAACTTCACGCTGGCAATGTTTTCCACTCCCTCGCTGTACTTTTTACGATAGAGAATTCGAGCCTATTTGTTTGAGTACGGAGCGTCAGAAAAAGGATGGAGTCCTGTTGATCTCTTTTGTGTATTATTAAAGTCTTCGTTACCAGGTATTGTGATGTCGCTCTTTCAGCCCTCGTGTTGGTGGGAAAACGCAGTCAGTGGAACTTAAAGCCTTTCTCATGGCGTTGATCATTGCTCGTTTTTCGGGCGCATCGAAACATTCAAAGTCACGAAAATTTACTTTAAATTGAGCACTTGTTTATAACGTTTTTGAATTGTAATAGATAGGTTCAGAAGGGAGTTTGGAATACATATTAATATACCTTTTATTTAGTATTTCCTTTGCCTTCTTGGAACAAAATAGGGCCGTCGTTGGTTTATCAGTTTGTTGGGCGCACAGACTGAGCTGCGAGCCAACCCTAACAAGATGTGTGAATATTTGGATAACCATCGGATACAGTAGCAATCGGAAACCACCCGTGGGACGTAATCGTACCCGTATTAGTAATGACGTCATTACTTGGTTACTTGATATTGCGTAATATTAGCATTGCTTGCTCGTGGTTCGAGGAGTATAATACAAAATATGCGCATGTGTGTGTGACTATAAGAGTGTAAGAATGTAATACATTCAAACTTGTGCGTTCTTTTAACACAAATAGACTATGCGACCGGCACTAAACGGTAAACTCTGTTACACGATTTGCTTAAGGCCCATTTACACGGTGCCAGTTTCTTGCCTGTTGTATACAATTAAATTGAAGCAATAAATAAGTTGCATGGTCTAAACAACAAATGGTCTAACCAATTATTGCGCGCAATTTATTGCATTCAATTATTGCTCTTGCATGTACAAGAAAATGGCATCGTGTAAATGGGCCTTTACTCATAAGTTCATCTCCTGAACGTCGACAAGGCTCCTTAAACACCAAGGTGCTTTAGACGGTTACTGAATGGTGGCTAGATGTTAAATCGTTTAACATCAGTTAGGACACCCTTCACTAGATTGAGTGACGACCTGTGCATATGTGAGAAGTCGATGGAGGCAGGTGGCTCAGGATCGTACATCGTGGCAGTGTGTGAGGGTAGGTCTATGTTAAGCAGTGGACTCCAACAGGCCTAAATGATGATGAAGAAATGACTTACATAATAAGACGCAACATGTTCATGCGATGTGGTGGAGGGAGGTCCATCGCCTATAATTTGACCGTTATATGTATGCTTCCTTACCTTCCTTCCTTATACAGTGGGGGTATAAAAAAATATAATATTAGTGATTATTTAAATTATAACTCACTCTGGAAATGAATTGATCTCCTCCAGGCACTTTCAGATGGACTTTAATACATTGTGAACATGTTTCTTTGACAAATAATTGTAAGAAAAATGTCCCGCTAAGTTTCTTTCGCCGGTTCTTCTCAGGTCAGTGGCTTTTCTTTTCCGAACCGGTCGTAGTGGTTTCACAATCGATAAGTGAAATGCTTCTATGTTGAATAAAGATATTTGAATTGAATTGGTGCAATATTATAACGCGGTTGTCGAGAATCGAACTCCAGATCCAGATTAGTGACACCAGAGTATCTCTGTAGCGAAATTCTATTGTTTACCGCCCGTCAGTTATTAATAGCCCGTTAATGATCGTCGAAAACGTCACGTTCGATGCAAAACTGACCGGATCGTGTTCGACATAAAGTCCAGATTGCCTCGTCGCATCGCGATTGGAAAGAACGCCTGTGCCTTGCATCCGGCGCGCCTCGTATCGCTATCATAGAGGAAACTGGGCGCGCGGCGTCGATCGACTCGCGCTTGACTCCGGTCGTTTTGGTGTCCTATTGTGCTTTTGTTACGCTTCATTTTAGTTATATATTATCTGTGGTCGCCAATGTTTTCTATTAAGAGCTCTTATCGGAACCACAGAAAGGGACCCGGCCAGAGCGGTAATATAATTTATGAAGTAGTTTGATTAATAATATAAATTAATTAATTGTTTTTTTTTATTTAAAAAAAAATTGACCTTACTTTACGATAACGTTATTCTGTGTTTTAAGGACGTTTTACAAACATAACACGGAACAAATATTTGTGTGACCCTCAAATAGTTCCGTGTGGGGATCGAACCCAATACCTTGGCAACTGCGCCACTGAGTCATAAAAGTGACAGTAGGCTCTACCTCATGGATGTAAATTAATTTTGATGCTTATCGATGCTAAATATTTCTTTAAATGCACCCATCTACTGTTTCCTGTTGTTGCACGAATGGGTAGGCTCGTGCGGAAAGTAGGAGATCTGGCGTGAAGTCGATGTTTTACACTTTTGCATTTCGTCAAGTGATGATTGGCAAGACCACCGGTTTTGTCGACGTCAAAAAACAGGGTAAGCCCTTAACGTCCGGTGAACCGCCTGCTCGCTTGTCACCTTCCCGCATATTCGCATTCAGTAACAACTATATCAAGTATTCAGTAAAAGCACTGGCGTTTGGTATTAAGAGTAAGCTATTGGCCACTTTTATTTCTTACAATATTTGCCGAATACGAATTACGCGCATCGTACCAATAAAAGTACCGCGTGAATCGATGATTAACACAACGCCGCCATTTTGGACACGCTCGTTATTATTACAACACAGATTTTACAATTCGATGTTGCTTTAATATCAAACAACATATATATAGCCATTCACATACAACGTATATACGTTGAATGTGAATGGCTTCATTAATCTGAACAAGTAATCACTACATAGTATAAAACAAAGACGTCCCGCTGTCTGGCTGTCCCTATGTATACTTAGATCTTTAAAACTACGCGACGGATCTTGATGCGGTTTTTTTTCACTACATAGAGTTTTATACATTGGACCCGTGCGAAGCCGGGGCGAGTCGCTAGTACCTTTATATCTTAATGCGAGGAACAAAAGGCGCGACCTTCTCAAGTCGTTTCGCACGGCCAAAGGAATTCACAGATTTCAATTGTGACCTCGACCTTGCCAATATGTGAATTCATTCGACTAGCAACACAGCCGCATGCGGCACACGCTTTAGCAAAATTGTGTTGTTGTTCAATAACGCAAAAGTCATAATTTAAATTATCCATTTATCATCCAATCATCCATTTTTGAAACTACAGCTCGATACATAACTTCCATTCTCTTTTCATAGGCAATTAAAGAATGCATTTATGAAACAAACGAGGAAGTGTATTTTAACTACGCTTACATAATAAGTGCTCTAGCAAAGCGCGGAAACTTTTAGTGTGGTTTCATTTTGTTTATTATCATTTATAGCTCTATTATTGTTAATCGCTCGCCTACTATTCTCCTTATGCTCATGAAATAAAACTTTACTACAAACATGTTTGCTAGTTCACAATCGCCATTGTTGAATTATCGTCTTTTTTTCGCAAGAGACTACTTACCTAACTCGCAAGGCTAATGAATGATGATCGCTCAACGTGACGCGTCGAATCACTACGTCAACCAACCAATGAAAATAAAAGATTAAACGTCACGTACCTACTCAATGCAGCTGTCAAACTGCGTGCGTCTGAATGTCAGCCATCTTGATTTCTTTTTTCTTAAATTTATATTAAGAAATGCACATTGCAAATAATATTTATAAAATGAATTTATTGTTTTTTTCTTAGCGTATAATTAATAAGAACTTTTATTATGAATTTTTATGTAAATCATACATATGACCGCAGAGATTTTTTTTAAAGGGCTGCTCGCAATTTTCCAACTGGTATAAAATAAAGAGCCAACTTATGCCTTAGTTGGTTAAATGTCTCTTTCTTATTACATCGTATACATAATATATTCTTTACATCTCTCTATATATATTGTTACTTTAAATGACGAAGAAAAATAATGGCCTTAACCAGGTAATGCCTTTTGAAAAAACATTGGCGTCACGTGTAAGAATATTTAACGTACATTAATGCCTCGTATCAATCACAGATGCTTGGATATAAAGCAATCAGCCACTTATCCACGGTCCTGAACTATGCTCAGACGACGAGCGATTATTTTCTGTTGGAATACTTCTATTACGCAAGTCGCCTTTTCAAATGTGGAACGTTTCCATTTATACACAGTCTAAAAATTTCAATAAACGCCCCGCCATAGTATTTTAATAATAACAATTTTTCAACAACAGTAACAACAAGAAGGTTATCGGAAAAATTTATAATGGAAGGCGATCGATAACAGAATACAAATAAAAAAGTTTACTGCTATTGTATAAAAAACTTTAACGTTAACAATCTTTATAAAAAATACAGAAAATATACTAATTCGTCTCATGCCTTGGACAATAAAATGTTTTATGTTAATACGATCTGTTTCGAAGAAGGTTCTGTCTGATTATCAATATTAAAGATACGTTAAAGGCCGATTAATCCGATTATGTCGTGACGGATCCCAAATGTTCCGTCTCCAACCTAATGCGATCTGAGCGAACCATCAAACTCGCGCGGGCGAAATTCGCGCCCTAGCGTTTTGAATCGCAACCGAATTCGTCTCATAGGTGTCAAGGCCCGTCCCGCTCTTCCGCTCCCGGCCTTGACCCGGCACGCCGATGTGTGCCGAGGCTGTCCGAGGGGCATCGGCCCGCGAAAGTGAAACCGCCAACGGGTGAGCCACGCTCGCGAACTGGCCCGCGGCACGCATATTGTCGAAAATAACTTGCGCTTTGGATCGTGCGAATCTCAAAATTCTGAGTCCCGCGTAACTTTTACCCGCACTCTGACATTAAATGTATCTTTGCAATTTGTTAGTTCATAATTAAAGTGTCCAGTACAAAAAGATTCGGTTATGCACTGGTCTGCGGCTCACTCGGCGTTCTGCATCGGCTGAAGACGAGCTAGTTCGAAAATTAATCGCGGTGAACACGATGCGCTTGTTTAGTCTGTACTCCCGCTTTGTTTTTTAAACCAAACGAAAAAGAACTAGTCAATTTTTTTAATTGATATTTAGACTGTTGATATGTTACGTAGTGGCTTTTTCGTCTCGCTCTTAAATATTCTAAAGTTTTCGGGCTGAAAATGAAAATCATCTTACAAAAGCACTTAACTTTTTTTTTTTTTTAAATCTGACTCAAAAACTGAAGCATATTAGTTAAGCAGTGATTTGTCGAATATCGGACCTTTTGGACTTAACGCATGACGGTCCTAAGTCCTTAATTAACAATTAACTACGGCCGCACCCTGGTGTTGGTTAAGGGTGATATCTCGCTTAACCAACACCAGTCATAGCTTAGCTTGCATTAAATTCATTTCTGTAAAGAGTCGATGGATAGCTAACCGAACATACGCGCGAATCTTATTCTAGAAGCGGCCCTTACTGATGCGTTTTATATTCACATTACTTTTCGTGACGCGAGAAAAACAATCGTACGCTATATCTCCGCAACTTTTTGCCGCAAGACCCTCGTGCACCGAAACCGCTGAAATCAATCGCCATTGACGGAACAATGCCAGAACAGCTCACGGTGACCGCCAAAGACAAATCACGAACAGTCAAAGGCCGCGGCTCCTTATCGTTGCGATATTTTTATTCTTTGCCAAGTGCAGTCTAATTTCGTCACGTGATAAGGACCGATAACGCGGGGTCGCTGACTCAACGTTAACATTGCCACGGACTGAAGTTCGTACAATCAGAGCCCGTAGAGTAGCTTTTGTTTTGCCGAAGCAAGTAGGCAGCCTCGTAGAGTCGATGCTGTGAACTGAAGTACGTACAATCAGAAGAGCACGTAGAGTTGCTTTTGTTTCGCCTAAGCAAACGCGCAGCCTTTCATTCATTCATCGGTAGATCCATCCGACGTCGATTGTTACAGTCAGTCTTAACGACCACGAGTTTGCGGTCGCGTCTCCAAACTTCGCGGCCAGGACAACTCGCTAACCGGGCCAAAAGAAAAAGGAACAAACACTACCTTATCCCTTTTTATGTGAGAAGGTGGTAAACGAGCTGACGGTTCAACTGGTGTTAAGTGTTGCCACCTTTTATTAAAGTGGGCCCCGGCTACGTCCCTCAACAGTTGAAACGCAGAAGTAGAACACTTGCTACTTCACGCTTGTCTTCTGTGAAGTCTCGTTAGCTACCCGAACGAACCTGCCCATTCGTGCAACAGCGAAAACTATTGCTGGCCCCACCACAGTTAAACCAACCGTATAAAGTAGAAAGAAAGAAAAGGCATTTTTTGGTATCACAATAAGCATTGGAACTAATACAAGACTACCAAACAGCGAATTGTGTGATGGTCAAACCAGGTGCCCTTTTCAGCAAATTGATGCAGTACGCAATTGCTCTGACGCTGATTTTCATATAAGGTCTAATATTGACTTCACGGCCAATAAGACGAAAAAAGTAGTAGTTCTTATAAAAGCCGGCCTATACCTACATGCTACGGCAGAAACTCGCGCGGCTCCTTTCGAAACAATCGGGATGTGTCCGCAATATTAATTGAAGCCACAATTGTGCGTCGTAATTATGATATGTGCAATCAACACATCAGCGTTTACAAATATACATCACTTTTATCTTGCGTTGATAAATCCGAGGCCCCTTCACGAATTGCACGACAATTGCCCATACAACAATGTCAAAGAATATTACGAAAGAAATACGAATAGTTTTAAGAGAAATAGCATGCTACGCTATTGTTTATCCGGGACTGGAATCAAAACCGGGAATCCATCGGTGTTGTATTTTTTTTATTTAAGAAAGTGGCAAACGAGCTGACTCTGTTAAGTGATACCCTTGTACATTTGCAACACCCGTAGGGTTGCATGTGGCGAGATGATCATTTATTGCCTTTTTAAAAATTTCTCAAAGATTGTTTTAAACACACATGTGAGGATAAAGTGAATATAACATAATTCGCCCGCACCCAAATGCTAATTTTGCTGTAAAATCGTCACATATAAATATATTTTTCCTTAACTAATTTGCCATTTACCCATTCGGTAATCATGTGTACTCCGTCATTCAAGATATATATATATAACATTTGAATTAATATATTCATAACAATTTTTTCCTTTCCTCGTACTGCAGGCGATTAGTGAAATTATAATTATACAAAAATCTATAAAATATTTCTAAATATAAAATGTTTTCTACATAATATTTTTCTAGTTCTGGGGATCGAATCCACACCCTCTGTTAAAAGAAACAGGTTCACTATCCACTACACCAATCGAGTAATTAATATTTACGGCTATTTGACTATAGACGACCCGAATGGCGTAGGGGGTAGTGTACCTGCCTCCTGCACCAGAAGGTGTGGGTTCGATCCCCACTACGGGAAAAATATTGTGTGATGAACATTGTGTTTTTCTAGTGTCTGGGTGTTATATATGTATAATACGTATTTATTTACAAAAAAGTATGTTTATCAGTTATCTTGTACCCATAGTTCAAGCGTGTGTAAAAATTTGTCCTAAAACATTTATTTATGTATTTATTATTTAATATATTTCGACCTTAATTTATCTTTAAATAGCTCAGTAACCGAGTTGAAAGCCAGCTCTTGCGATAAACAATTAAAATTAGCGCCGATAAATAACTATTTAATAATAGTGCGATAAATTATTATAAACAACGAATTGATTTGGCAACCATTGTTTTGCCATATCAATTATTTCTAGGAAATTTGTCAATTTAAACACATAAAATGTTGGACAGGTTACACAGACACAGTTGACAGGTACAGTTTATATGGGAAAATAAAATTGTTGCAATTTTTATTTTCCATGCAATTTTTCCATAATTTCTCGTCGCTTAAACCTTCCCTGGACTACCACATATATATACCAAAAACCAAAATTAGCCAAATCGGTCCAGCCGTTCTCGGATTTTTGCGAGACTTACGAACAGCAATTCATTTTTATATATATATAGATAGACAAGCTGTCCCGGCAAACTTTGTTTAGCCATATAAATTATTTGTAGGGTAGAAAAAAATGTTTGGGCTGGACCACCCTTAACCTTTAGGGGGATGGAAAATAGATGTTGTCCGATTCTCCACCCTGGCTGATATGTACACAAAATTTCACGAAAATCGGTGGAGCCGTTTCGGAGCAGTTCAATTGCAAACACCGTGACACGAGAATTTTATATATTAGATATTCATTGCACAATTTTTGACAAGTTCACGCTCTAATCTATTATTAGAAAACATTATACCTAACTGAATTCATTTGGCCAATAATAACTTCGTATATCTTACAACGTTTTTAAATTAATTTTATTTAATCCGAATGACTTTTCTATATTGTAAGTTTACTTAAAGCACTATTATCTATTACTATTTCCTTAAAAGGTTTTGTTTATTTGCATCTGGGTTGGTTTCTTAAGAACTCTTCAGTTATAAGATACCAGAATTTAAGTTGTAATTATTATAAATATTTGTTTGTAATTATTATAAGTTGTAATTATTGTTAAAATCGGTCTTTAGGTTCGATTTTTTCGTTGTGTCCATTTCAAATGTGTGCCAACGACGATTAAAAAGGCTAATTGGTTTGTATTGTTAATCAAACCCAATAGGTAATCGATAACGGGGCACAGTTTTATAAAAACGAGCCAGCATTACCCGCGACTATTATTATCAGGGCAAGGTGATCGCCCAAATATTTGAAATACTATGTAACTAATGTGAAATTGTAAGTGCTATCAGTTTATATGTTTTCCATATCACTCACGCAATATTACTTTTTAAGGTTCCGTGCCCGAAGGATAATACGGGGCCCTATTACTAAGACTCCGCTGTCTGTCTGTCTGTCCGTCTTTTTTTTTTTATTTTATGCGAAAAGTTGTCAAACGAGCAGACGGTTCACCTGATGTTAAGTGAATACCGCCACCCATGGACATCTGCTACACCCGAGGGTTACAGATGTGTTGACAACCTTTTGAAGTTTGGGCTCCGGCTACCTCACTCACCAGACGAAACGCAAAAGTATTTGTCATACTTCCACTTGACGCCGGTCTTCTGTGAGGTCGTGGTACTTACCCGGACGGGCCTGCCCATTCGTGCAACAGCCGAGGCAGCTGCGTGGCCCTACCACCGTCTTTCACCAGGCTGTACCCCATGAACCGTGATAGTTAGACAGTTTAAATTTTCATAGATGATGTATTTCAGTTGCCACTATAACAGCAAATACTAAAAATCAGAATAAAATAATATTTAAGCGGAGCTCCCACACAACAGACATGATTTTTTGCCTTTAATAAAGACTAGCTGCTGCCGGCGACTACGTCTGCGTAGAATAAATAGGCTGAAGGCGTAACATTCAGACAGAAAGACAAAATACATAAAAATATGTATATAAATGATAGCCTGTCTTATTCTGATATATAAGCTATATTATCTTAAAGTTTCATTAATCGGTAGTATTTCGGTGAAAAAGTAACAAACATCCATCCATAAATACAATCTTTCACCTTTATAATATTAGTAAGGAAGTAAGGATAATGACGACCCGAATGGCGTAGTGGGTAGTGTACCTGCCACCTGCGTCAGAGGATGTGGGAGCGATCCCCACTACTGGAAAAATATTGAGTGATGAACATAGTGTTTTTCTAGTGTCTGGGTGTTTATATATGTATAATACGTATTTATTTACAAATGAAAAGAATGTTTAAGTATGTTTATCAGTTATCTAGTACCCTTGTTACTATACAAGCGTTGCCTAGTTTGGGACTAGAGAACGTTGTGTAAAAATGTGTGCGTCTTATATAATGACGAAAATCTCAACGTGTAATTTGCTTTTTCGCATTTTAAGCAATGCTTGTCGCCATCTGTTGTTATTATGAATTATGGATCAATTTTTTTACCCTGTCTGACACTCAGGCGATTAGCGCAATCAAAATTAGAAACCAAACATATTAATGATTAGTTTAAAGCCGTAATCACATAAAATTCTCAAGTTACGGAGTTGACGTAGAGATTATAAATTAAAGTTTTATAACAATAAAGTATTGTCTGGCTGCAAATAAACCTTATACTGTATGTAATGCAGAAAAAAAATTGGTTCTATTTTCAAAATCGATACGAGCGAGATTGCGCTTCGCGAACTTGCGAAATTATAAGCGAATAAGAAAAAACTTCACGACATCACATGTCCCGCGAAACTACGTTTGCGTTAAGTGCATCCGTCTCCCTCTCTCTTCCAGGTAGTGGACGATGCAGGAGCAGGACGGCGACGGGGAGCCGGCGCACCACGCCCGGCGGCCCATGAACGCGTTCCTCATCTTCTGCAAGCGGCACAGGAGCGTCGTGCGCGACAAATATCCGAACCTCGAAAACAGGTGACGTCACAGCCTAGAACATTAAATCACAAGAATATTTTTTAGATCTTGTTAAGTTTAGCTTTGGTGAACATGTTTATGGAACGAAGTAATCCAAACGCGACGTACAGATGTCCGATGCTAGAAATCCTTCGACTCACAGCGAGCACTCTCTATTCGCCGTCTCTGTCTCCTTCTAACATACTCAACATCCCTTCATTTATTATATTATACTTCTTTTGCTTATCCGTCGTTGAAAATATTGGTAAAAGCTTGACGGCGCATTGGAAATTTTCTCGATTACAAACTGATTCTATTTGAATCTCATAATTTGTAATTTCTGCCGTAACGCCGAACACTGGAGGGGCGGCCATATTAGGTTCTAAGATTCATTGAGTAGTCGATCGGCAGTGAGCGCGCACGCATCCACGTGTTCGGCAGACGTCTTAGTTTCCATCAGAAATTATTTCGTCAATCTTTAATAATTTTGCATTTGTAAATAACCAAAGTTCATTATAATCGAAAAGTTATTGTAAAGTGATCATATTTTTTTAGAATACCTTCTCCTCGCCCGATAAAACACGCCATATTGTAAGAAAACCAATTACTCGTGCCTTAAGATGGAAAGTCACCCCAATAAGGGTGAAGTCCCTTTAAGCTTATTTACATTATTTCTTTGTTATTATTTTACGCTCGCTTTAAAGTTCCTTTGTTTGTTTGTTTATTTATTTGTTTATTTATTTATTTATACTTTATTCACATAAAACATATACAGAGGCGGACTTAATGCCATCAGCATTATCTACCAGTCAACCTTTGGGTGGTCCAGAAAAGTTTGAGTCGGTACATTAATTGTAAAATGAAAAAAAAGAGATCATAGAAACATCAAATTTAAACGATTTAAAGAATTTATTTCCCAAAAGAACATTACATAGTTCACTTAGATGAGAAATTCAACTAAATTATTTACAAAACAAAAAAGAAAGAGAGAAAAGTCATAAACAAAGTGAAGTTCGACCTGCCGTAGCTATAAAGAAATACAACAGGTTTTTACATAAAATACTATACTAGGCATATAAAAAAGTATAATTATAATAATATATTGCAATATGCACATACAGTAAAATAAACGCATTTAAATACACAATACATATATAAATAATTATGCAAGGAGGCTTTTCTAAGTGTATCCATTTTTTAAAATTAAATAATGATATAGAAAAAATTATAAATATTTAAAATCACTCATAAGTAATTAATTACATCCATTTGAGCTTACCTCAAAAATTTATACGCAACTCATTTATTTTACGCGCGATCATTTATAACTAACACGCACACAAGTTCGTGCGTGAATAGTAAAATTTAGGTATTTATGAATGACTACCACGTTGTCAACAAGTTCTATTTTTTAGGGAATAGAATGGTATTTTTTTTTGAAAAAAAGTTTGTTTTTATTTCAATAAACGATTATACTACCGAGTCTGAACTTCCTGTGTAAATTTTTTAAAAAAGTCTCATCATATTACTTACAGTATATCTAGTTAATTATTTCATGTATAAACATATACAACAGTTCCCCAACATAATGAATTGAAAGCAGTCCAAATAACGCTTAAAATTAAAGACGGAGGACTGTATTGCTAATTCGTAAAGCTTTATTATGAATATTAATTAATATTCTGACATTGGAATTTAATTTAAGTGTATATGTTTATCTGTAACATAATCCTGATTTGAACACTTTGCCATTTCCTAAATTACAGATCCATAACCAAGATCCTTGGCGAGTGGTGGGCCAACTTGGACAAAGAAGAGAAAGCTTGCTATACTAGTCTTGCTAAACAGGTAATTAAAGCGGGCCGCCCGTCTCAAATTTATTATGTCGCTCTCATATTAATGTTCCATTTAAACGTCCGCTTCGCAGTACAAAGACGCCTTCTTCAGCGCGAATCCCGACTTTCAAATGGTACAAGCTGCCAGCGCCGCCGCTGCGCACGCTAGCGTCGCGGCCGCGGGAGTCGAGCGAGAAGGCCGCGGGGTCCCCCCACAGCGAGTACCACGACCACGAGCTGGAGAAGACCAACAACAACTCGACCAAGGTCGACCTCAACAAGAGCACGGAGCACGCGTACGAAGCGGACGCGAAGCGCCTCTCGATGTTCACCCCCGGGAAGCTGGCGGACGAAGCCCAGATGGGCGGCCTCAGCAGCCTCCTCGAAGCCAAGACTGAAAACCGCACCCCCAACCCCTACTACTCACCGCCCTCGTACAAGTTCAACGCGATCTCTACACCGATGGAGGACAGATCTCACAGCATACTCGAGCGGGTGAGGATCGAGGGCGCGCGGGACGACAGCATCCGCGAGCTGCAGAACGCCCTCACGGAGACCAGCCGGATATTCGAGGAAGACTTCGACGACAAGGGCCGGATATACCGCTACGGCGTCCCCAATGATCAGTTCACGAACCAGGACGTGATCGATCAGATTGTGGACAAGAGGTACTCGAGCGACGATGGCTACCAGAGACACTGGTCCGACGACGAGAAGTCGAAGTCCGGCAGGTCGTGCAAGGGCAAGAGGTACCAGGAGTTCATGGCGGTCGGGGGGCTGATAGTGAACAAGCGCCAGCGGAGGGACTACCCAGACAAGGTCGACGAGGGCTACAGCGCGTCATGCAGCTGGGAGCCGGGCAGCTCGCGCGACGACTCCTACCTGGACGAGCTGAAGCCCGGCTGCGTGAACGAGGTCACAATAGAGAACGACGCGAAACACGACACGAGCGACGCGAACGAAGCGGAGGGCGGCGCCGGCAAGGCGTTCAAGGCGGCCGACTTCGACCTGGACGCCAAGATACGCGCCCTGCCGTCGCTCAGCCTGGAGAAGTTCCAGCAGAGGAAGCGCGAGAACAAGCGCAAGAAGAAGACGATAAACCTGAAGCCGAAGCCGCCCGAGGCGCAGATCATCAACTCGGTGCCGCGGCCCGCGTCGGACGAGAGGCGCGAGATGGCGGAGCGGTGGCGCGACCACGTCATCGGCAGCCAGAAGCGCAAGCCGCGCAAGATCAGCATCACCAGGCTCGAGATCAACAGCATGGTGTCGGCCAACGCGAGCCCCGAGATCAAGTTCGCGATGGAAGCGCCGCGCACGGTCCAGGGCATGGAGGTCTGCCATCGGCCCCACGGCAGCGTGGACCTGCTGGCCCTCGCCACCCTCGCCGAGGTGGCGGCCAACACGTCCAAGATGGAGGACTCCCTCGGCCCCGACCTACCAGACGCCCGACGCTAGCTAGGCCTTAGAAAGAAAATATTCCAAAAATTATTTACCCCACAATCAGATAATATTTATATATAGATCTACTTTTACATGGTACGCATAAAGATTTAATATTACTATTATTAATATTGTACACGTTTTAATCGTAGTTTTTTTATGGACTAGAGATAGATTTTATTTATATAGAGACGGAGGAAATATATGTATACTTGGGTTCAGTTCAGTGTAGGCTGCGATATTCCGCTTTATAGGTTTAAATGAAAACGAAACTAAGGGTGATAGATGAATAAAGTACTATAAATTATCAAAGGTATAAATAAAATAATAAAGCATAATCTATTTTGCGTATGAAAAGGAGGTACATAGCCTATTCGTCGGGAGTGCTAAATACGGCGTGCTCTGAGACACGCGTCAATTAAATATAACGGTGATTAGATCACGTCGGATTTGTAACGTCACTACGCATCACAACGTAATTATTAAATGGAAAATGCCAAAAAAATAAGTCATTGTAAAATCATAGACCTCATTACGTGTAACTTAGGTTATTCGAATCGCCTTAATATTTTTAGATGTTACTTGTGAACTGAGACACCACGTTCATAGACTGTGTTGCATTTTTATGGTGACTCGTGTTTTTTTTTTTTTTTTTTTTTTGTGTATAGCGTTGCATGTCGCGGTGTACATTTTACTCAAGGCACCCGCACAGACTTGTGGTTTAATCACACATTGCGTTCGCGTTAAATTTATCGTTGTTTAAAGATCGAACGGTCGGTCATAAATTAATTATATGAAGTCGCTGATATTATGTAGGAGAGTTAGTCCCGTGAGTTGGCGCGTATTTTCATGGCGGACTCTCCACAAAACTGACGGTCCATGAGTTTGCGGGTGAGACTTGCAATCCTTCCCTTGTGATATATATATATATATATTTTATGCTAGTGGAGAAACTATAACAGTTTAGTTCGTAACGTATCGCGATCTATAACTCGTTGTTAAATGTGGAAATATTTAAGAGAAATGACAAAAAAAAAACCGAAAAAAATGTGAAGTACGGAGAAAAACATACACAGATTTTATTTTCGTCCAGAAACGTAATGTTGTCCCAATTAGGTACCTGAGAGTTGTTCGAAAAATTCACCTTATAAGGAAATCACTGCATCGTTTCTATTATTACTACATTTTTAAGTTATTTATATTTTTTTTAAAAATCACCTGAACCTTTATAGTTTCTAGTTCGTCCCAGAACAGTGTTTCTCAAATGTTCTTGTGTTTTCGTAGATTTCGTGACGAGAGTTGTTTAAGGGCCTCTATGATATTAAACCTCAACTGTGTCAGCAAAACATACAGAAGGTGCGTTACTTTCTTTGCAGGTCTAGTCTAGTATTTTAATAGAAATATGTATAAATATTATTATATACGAGTATTGGAAAAGTGCACTTATATTGTTTAAATTAACAATGACACAAGCCATAATGTGACAAGCTCATCCAAAGACCAAATGTATTTAATGTAGACAAGCTAGGCTGTAGGCTTATTGTATAATATGTAATATGTAAGTGATATATGTATAATATATATTATAAATATATTATTATGATAAACATTATTTGTCGCGACATAATCGAATGCAGAGTTAATTAACTGCAACTGATTTTTCATTGCCATCATAAAAATTTGCTTTCAAACTTTGAAATTTAATCGTTCACTGTCAAAATAAATTATTACGTAATATTATGAAATCATAGGCTTCTTTCTTACCTCTTTATTGAGATTACTGATGAGTTTTGGTAGGTATTAAATTTTTAAAAGACTTAAATAGAAAGATTCAATGACACTTTACGTTTGTTAATGCCAAGAAATAAAATTTTTGTCTCCTCGAAGATTAACGTTTAATTTGTCGGAGAATAGCGTTAAGATTACAATAAGCAAGGGGGCCAGTAAGCGGAATCGGTTTGGTTACAGAGTTTATGATACGGCGTTTGGCGGGGCGCGTATTGCCAACGTGATTTGTAAGATTTTTGAATGGATATGGCGAAGAGCTTATAGATGATATCAAAATATATAGGTGGAGTGGTTTCCTGAATAAAATGGTGCTGGAAGATCTGTATTAAGTTATTATTTAAACGGCGACCTCAACGGTCTCATTGGCGTCGGTGAACCGCCCTACGAAATTATACCGTTTCTAGTGCGTCGCGTAAACCGATGTAGTGTTTTACACATCTGTTAATTTTTTTGTTATAGTACTATCGTTTGTTTGAAGAGTCGCACAGCGACGACACTACGCCGCAGCGCTACCGACGGTTGCGTTTTATTATTATTATTATTATTATTATGTTGGTATAATTTTATGAAGTCACGCAAACAATATCAAAGTTACGAACGTTCGGTTTGAATATCTCCGTTTTGTTAATGTTATGGAGAGAGAATTTTTAGATTGAATATGGTGTTGGCGGCTCCTCGGATATTTTGTTGTTATGAGAGTTCCAAATTTCACGTATTTATTACCACGTTGATGACAAGGCGTACGTTGTGACGTACGTTTATTTTTCTGTTCAAATTAACATTGATGTTGTTTGCAACACACGATTAAGTATACGGGACGTATTTTCTGTTTGAGAAACACTGGTCTTCGTATTGCGTTACGTAGGGCATAATAGGTCGACACCCAAAGTGTTTTTGTTGGCTCCAAAGTATTTTGTTGAATGTTCTGTTAAGAGCGTGTGTGGTTCATACTATATCTTTTATTGTAGTAATAAAGTTTATTCATATTAACAAGCCTGATTGTTTTATTTACTCGTTTATCTTATATCACATACAATATTAACATCTTCCCATTTTGGTGGGGTCGACGCAACATGTGAATCATGTTGTCAGTGGTTTTGGCTATGTTTTTACAGCCTGCAGTCTGCTTGACGTCAACCCTTCTCCAGAACAAACACCCAGATCGGGAACAAGTATCTTCGGGTCACACAAATAGTTGACCCGTGTGGTAGTCGAACGCACAATCCCTGCCGCCGAAACCATTTGCTTAGATTATGAAAGAAGTTTGGACACGAAGTTCAATCAAGAAACATCTGGGTAGGCATCTCGTAATCTATATTTGCGCCATTTTCCTACTTCAGCTGCCTCCGATGCCGCCCCGGCCCTGACCGAAGTACCCCTTAGATGAGAGGCAGCCAAAGTGTCTACACAAGTGGCGTCCCAAACAAGGGCTTTGCCTCTCTCCCAAGGGATCAATGTTAAACCGTCGGGTCTCTTACCATCGTCGCGAAAAATGCCACAGGGCTCTAAAATAGATGGAACATTGATGGAAACAAGAGACCTACGGATGATGTCGTTCAGGGAACCGTGGTGGGAAAAACGGCCAGCACTTTTTTGACAAGAAAGCCCGTGGAGACCAAATTTGTCTACACTGACACCACAAGGGCATTGGTGTGGTTGAAAAATCGGTGGCCCCAGACGGATTCCTACAGCAATGCGTAAGCTTTCATTGTCGAGTAATGTGATGGTAAAGTGTGAAGCAAATAACTCGATTCTTTAGATGAGAAGTCTAGGAAACGGGCACGCTCTAAATTACTTTCTAAAAATTGAAATGTCATCAAATCTCTCTATATTCTCCACACCAAATGAACATCTCACTGTTTTTGTAGGTTTACTTCCAGTGGTATTTTCGTTGGAGCAGATAGATAGCCAAGACATCCTTGCCTCCTCTGCATAGGAAAGTTCTGAATCGTGATTAAGGATGTTATTACATAAATTATTTACGCTATGCACGGAAGCAAGGCCTTTCCTTGCTTCCGTAGGTAGAGCGACACTTGAAATGACACCGATACCACCAAAACGAATTGGCAGCGTAGCTTAAGTCCAGCTTAATTCATTAAGAGATAAATTTAGAATTTTTTCTAGAGCTGATTTAAGATGGAAATCAATTTCGTTCAAAAAGTCACCGCATTTCCAAACTGGACTCGAGCGAAGGAGGTACAAGAACACAATGTCGCAAAATAGTTAGCGCAATATGCGAATTTAGTAAAAACAATTTATTAACATGATCTAAAAATTGATTTAACTTTAATTTTAAATGAGTCCAAACTTGGTATCAACAAAAGTGAATCTGAACGGACTACGTTAATTCCTGGTATGATAGAGCTAAAATTTTGGGTCAAAATGATTTTGTCGGAAAAAGAATTATTTTCGGAAAAGAAAAGTTCACATTTGGAATTATTTAAATCAAGACCGATATTTTTAAATTGTCTAATAATTTCGAAAAGATCACTTTGTACATCGTCAACTTTACCTCCCAGCGTACCATCGTCTAGGTACCAGACATTCAGTTTAGATTTCAATTTTGAAATAATTGGATGAATTCTTTTTGAAAAAAAACTTTTAATGCTGGTCCTAGCGGATGTCCCTGCTGAACGCCGACAGCAGAATCAATAATATTGTCTTCATAAAATAAATTACTCTTTTCACTGTAACATTGCCAAACATCATTTCAGCCTGTTTGAGTCCACTGCTGAACATAGGCCTCCCCCATAGACTGCCACGAAGTATGATCCTGAGCCACCTGCATCCATCGACTTCCCGCACATTTGGACAGGTCGTCACTCCATCTAGTGGGGGGTCGTCCCACACTGCGATGGCCAGTACGAGGCTGCCACTCGAGAACCTTTCTTCCCCAAACGGTTATCGGTTCTACGAGCTATATGGCCGGCCCATCGCCACTTCAGCTTGCTAATCCTCTGAGCTATGTCGGTCACCTTAGTTCTACTGCGGATGTCTTCGTTACGAATTCTATCACGCAGAAAAATACCGAGCATAGCCCGCTCCATAGCTCGCTGAGCGACTTTGAGCTTCCTCATACGGCCAGTGAAGGACCAAGTCTCGGTTCCGTAGGTCATCACTGGCAACACACATTGATTGAAGACTTTAGTCTTCAAACATTGAGGTATATTTGACGAGAAGATTTGCCGTAGTTTCCCGAACGCTGCCCATCCGAGTTGGATTCGCCGATTGACCTCTGCGTCGAAGTTGGACTTACCTAGCCGGACTAACTGTCCTAGGTAAATGTACTCGTCAACAACTTCGAGCTCAGTGCTCCCAACAACAACCGGTATTGGCGTGACATGGACATTAGACATGATCTTCGTCTTGTCCATGTTCATCTTAAGGCCCACCCGTTGGGAGACACTGTTGAGGTCATTGAGCATAGTACTAAGGTCCTCCAGCGATTCTGCCATGATGACTATATCGTCGGCACATCGGAGGTGGGTGATGTATTCGCCATTGATGTTAATACCTCGTCCTTTCCAGTCCAGAAGCTTGAAAACATCTTCCAACGCAGCGGTGAAGAGTTTCGGGGATATGACATCATCCTGTATTACAACACCCTTCTGCAGTTGGATAGGTTTTGTACTACTGGACTGTACTTGGACGGACAGCGTAGCCTTGTTATACAAACACCTCAGCACCTCGATATACCGACAGTCAATTTGGCACCGCTGAAGAGCCTGGAGTACCGCCCAAATATCGACAGAATCGAAGGCTTTCTCATAGTCCACATACGCTAGGCACAAAGGCAGATTATACTCTTCGGTCTTCTGTATAATCTGCCGCAAGGTGTGTATGTGGTCTATGGTACTGAAGCCTTTTCGGAATCCGGCTTGTTCGGGAGGCTGGAAGTCGTCGAGTCTGGAAGCGAGACGATTCAAGATGACTCTTGAGAATAGCACATAGACGCGGCTCAGAAGGGATATCGGTCTATAGTTCTTCAAGAGAGCGTTATCGCCTTTCTTGAAGAACAGCACCACCACACTTCTGCTACACGCCTCTGGTGTAGCACCACCCTGAAGGACGGAATTAAAGAGCCTCTGAAGGACTACAAGTACCGGTTCTCCACCCGCTTTCAGAAGCTCTGCTGTAATTCCGTCCTCTCCTGATGCTTTTCCATTCTTAAGATGGTCAAGAGCCATTCTAATCTCGCTCAGACTGACGTCCGGGATATTATTAAGAATAGTGTCGGATAAGCTTTGCTCTTGGGTCGTTACTCACAAATGTGTGTGGCTCCAACGACGATGTGTACAGCTGTCCATAGAACCTCTCTATCTCACTCAAAACCTCTGGTCTACTGGAGATGATAACGCCGCTGTCAGTCTTCAACTTAGTCAGTTGGCTTTGTCCGATAGACAGATCTCTGGCGAAGACTTTTGAGCCTAGGTTCCGCTCTATAGCTCCCTCAATATGACCTGTATTGAAGTTGCGTAAGTCTCACCGCATGTATTGGGAGATCTGCCTATTAAGCCGCCTGTAGTCCGACATGTCAGTTAGAGACTGCAACCGCATCTCTCGTCTTTTTCCCAAGAGGTTGAGAGTGTGATCAGAGAGTTTTTGGGTTCTATTTTTGCGGCGGGCCTTATAAAATTTAAGGCCCGCGGCATGGACGAGTTTCCACGAGCTTTGCATTAATATCGTCCACCGTGCTGCAATTTTCTAGGCATTGGAAGCGATTATGTAGCTCGAGCTGAAAGCTTTCGGGGTTCTTGCCAAACATAATGATATATTTCTGGTGTACAGATACAATAGAGTTACAAGCATTCCTTAGGTCAATCTTCAGAAGTACATCCAAACCACTAGTATTTAAAGAAGTTCGAACAGAATGTACAGCCGCTTCACAACTGCCTTTGCTTCCAAAGCCTAGTTTAACAGGCTGGAATATTGTTTTATGGCCGGAGATTATGTGCCTACATGCTAATTTTTAAGTTAAGCGTCGAAAGGTAGAACCAATAGCAATAGGACGGATACCATTATCTTTTTTTTAAAGGCACATAATCTTGCCCCGTATAAGAAAGGAACAAATTTTGAATTTACTTTTCCGGAAAGCATTAAGTTGCATAATTTTGTAATATCATTAAGAACCGCTCTGCCAGCATCACCGGCGGAAACGCTTACAAGATCTTTCAGATGTTGTGGCGTTGTACCGTCAATGCCGCCAGCAGAGCCACTTGAAAATGACATAATTGCCTCGAAAGTGTCTTTATCGGTAATTTGCAAAGACTGATATGAAGAATCGGGAGGCAGCGATAGGAACGGCGGAAGATTGATCGATGGATGCTTTTGACGGAGGTTTTCTAGTCTCATCATTATACGGAGCAAGGATGTCGTCTGAAAATAAAATGCGCGTTGCATTTTTTAAATCACCATCCATAACTTTAGTCTCTACAGTTCTCCTTAAATCGAATTTACGGGGAGGTTTAGTTATGGATGAGGCAGTCTTTAACTCAATATTATTGAATGAATTGCTCTTTAACTGAGAAGTAATTGATTTTGATACCGATTTATCAAAGTGAAAATGGGAATACGCAAAGGTAAATAAATTATGCCAACTTGATTCAGTATTTGAGAAACAATTTTGAATACAGGTTGATAATGATTTGGGAGCCGGCAGGAGGGAATAATTAAGATGCAGTACAAAGAACAAGCCGTGTTGAGAAAACCATAATCTTTAATTGTCTCTCGTTGCTATAGTAATTCAAAGAGAATGTAATCACTACGTTTAATAATACGTTTGTGTAGTAATTTGTCAATATTAGGGTAATGCTAGACCGATGAGAGTAAGGAGTGTACAAGATAAGAGCGGTGCTACACAGTAGCAAATGAGTCGCCACATCACCCCCCTACGGACAAATTCATATAGAAAGATCTATATATCTAAATGAGTCGCCCTAATAACTTAGCAAGCATCCTTGCACCTCTTGGAATCCTTTTGAGTTTTGGTACATTTCTATGGTAATAATAGATCTGTTCCGAAAACAACTTAAAATTTTTGTCATTATAATCGCTAATAGTCTTATTACAAAAAGCAGTAGGCTGTGAAGCTGCAACAGGGTGACTATGACAACGTTTAATGTGAATATTTAAGCCTCTTTTACCTTTAAAAAGCCTACCGTCGGAACAATTTTGACATGGTAGAAAATCCTAACATCGTTATTCATAATAGTAAAAATGAACCTTGAAAAATTAAATATATTATATCATAGCTTAATTATAAAAGAATATATAACTATAATATAATTATATTATATTATAGTTATATATTCTTTTACCTTTATTTTTTTCTGTAGATTTATCTGGATTATATAAACTATAACTACAATTTTGACACATTGACACTATTGACAGTTTACTAACCGACATCCGACTGTTCTTTTCAACCATAAATATTTTATGTGCAAGTTTAAATACTCAATACATAAATGCGTTTATTATTATTGTGACAAATTTTATTATCTTAGCGATAAAAATTTTTTTCGTAAAAGAAAATTCTTGTTATTGCTGCTAAGTGTCAATATTATTTGTTTCAAATCTGGATGAGGACACAATGATTGCGGCTTCGGAACCTTTGGTAAAGATTTTATTTTCTAAAATAATTTTTGAATTTGTGAAACACATTAAGACAAAGTACGTTGCTTTGATATTAATATATATTTTAATATTATCAAGTAACATTTCACGGGTTACAACTTTCTGATAGATAAAAACATCGTTAATACCGTAATTCGTATTTAAATGCAACAGCGTTTTTCCATGCTTTAAGATTCAAAATTACTTAATTCAAGGCTCAAGGCTAAACAAAACAATAAAAATATAATAATATCGTTGTAGTAATCCAATAACCATATTCAATTCAAATTCTTTAATTACTCTAATTTATTTTAATGTATTGTATTTGTCTTCTTGTTGTTTATTCGTTAATAATTTATAATAGTATATATTCAATGTAAATATTTTACCCTTACATTATATTCCCTCAAGTAGTAAATCAATTACTATTGCTAATGCTTTCATTAGGAGTTTGTGCCTCACGGTAGGACAGTACTCGCAAGGCATCCTGGTCAGATATATGGAAAATGCCACAACAACTCTGCATCCGAAAACACTCTTATGTATAAGTTGACAAACTTTGCTATCAAAGATGAGAGTTTGCTTGAAAACAAGGAGTTGGAGGAGGAATGGTGGTGTGTGAGAGAAGTTTATTATAGAGATACAAAAGGTAAGCAAAAAGCTCTTGATAATAATAAGGCCATAATTTTTATTATCTATGTTATAATGCACAACTTTACATATAATATATTTGTTTCCATAAGACAGAAATATTTAAATATGTGAAGTTATTAAGTCCTAACAGATTTTTCATGAGCAACTGTTAAACTCTTAACTACATTCAATTGAAATTTTGTATTTGATTAATTGTTCCTAATAATTCACGATTGATCTATGACATTTAACATATTTGTTTCCAAAGACTTTAAATATGAAGTAGAACTTCAACAGTTTTTCATGAAAAAACTTTAACTATAGAAATTTTGTATTTGAATATATTTATTCTTTATTGTACAAAAAATTAAATCGAAAACCTTAATAAATAGTAATTCTTTTATCTGGATTTGTTAAATTGTTACATTCTGCAATAAATAGTACTGTTTTACTACTTCTTCTTTTTTTCGAGTCTTAATTTTATTTTTAATTTAAAAATTTAAAAAATTAAAGAAAAAATTATTTTTAATTATTTTAAGTAGTGACTTTGACTTAGGCTTCATAATTTAATAAATAAATTTTAAGCTATTTTATAAAAAAAAAACAAATTCCAGAGCTTGATGAAGATGATTCACAGCCTCCGGGAAAAGAGAAATTGGAAGATTCCTTCAGACCGCCTAGCAGAATCAAGCCGGACTTCAACATATCTATTAAGTCCGAGTTACTTGCCGGTGTAAAACGAAATGAAGGGGATGTTGGTTCTGGGACATCACAGGGCGGCAGTGCTAACAGTTCCAGTAACATGTCGAAGAAATTTAGCCCCAACTACTCACAGCAGTCGCAACCGGTAAAGAAGCCATTAAATCCAAAGACTGACTGCTGTTATGAAGAGGAGCTTTATGTTAAAGGATGTACTGCTGTGTGGTCTAAAGGTAGTTACTGTGACTGTTCTGTCGGAAATTATTTGTTTTATGTACAAAATTGTGTTTTTTTTTATGTGTTGTTTGACGGTGGTAGAGCAACACGAAAGCCTCGGCTGTTGCACAAATGGGCAGGCTCGTAAGTACCACAACCTCACAGAAGACCGGCGTAAAGTGGAAGTATGACAAATGCTTTCGCATTTCGTCTGGTGAGTGAGGTAGCCGGAGCCCATTTTCAAAAAGGTTGTCAACGCATCCGCAAACCCTCGGGTGTAGCAGATGTCCATGGGCGGCGGTATTCACTTAACACCAGGTGAACCGTCTGCTAGTTTGGCAACTTTTCACATAAAAGAAAAGAAGGCAATTGACCTGATGTCAAGTCATTACCACTGCATAGACATCCACACCAGAGACTTACAGGTGTGTTGACAACCTTTAATAAAGCAGATTCGATTTACCTTACTCACCAGTCTATATGAGAAATAATATTAATTCCAGTTCATGGTCTTCTGTGAATTTGTGGTACTTCCCCGGGCAAGCCTGGCCATTCATGCCACATCCGAAGCTGGTCTGTGGCCTTACCACATTGAAATTTTTATTTATATTTATAAACTACTATATAACATGAAAGTACCCCAAACTTTAATTCACATGTAATCAATGTGTTACCAACAGCGTTAAAGTGACTCAAACAAGCTATTTTAATGTGGCCATTCATTAATGTTTATGTGTTAAAGGCTATTATAATGTTAGTGATTATTTAAATGATAACACACCCTGGAAATGAAGTGATCGCTCTAGGCTCTTTCAAGTTGACTTCAATACATTTGTAAACATCTCTTTTTTTAATTTTAAAAAAATAGTCCCACTGAGTAGCATCTTGAAAATCAATAAGTAAGTGTAATGATTCTATATTGAATGAACATATTTGATTTGATTTGATTAGCTTCTCGTGGTGCATGATTGTGTGGGTTTATCTGGTAAAGTACTAAAGCCTCACAACCAGTACGAATGAAACACTAGATTTTTTGGCTTTGTCTATTTAGTAAGGTAACTAGATGGATTCTGTTGTAAGCCAGAATCTACATATGATTAGATTTCCAAAATGATAGAAGTAACAATTCTTAATCATTTTTTATTTTGTGAGGATATATTTAGTATTTTATGTTATATTTTATTAATATGTTCCAGGTTTGATCTCAACCCCAGGCACAAAGCTGTCAGGGCCAGAACACAGAGAGACAATAGCTTGCTACACTATTGACAACCCAATAAAACATGCGGCCTTCTGCGACTTTCACATTGGTATAAACAACACAATGTTGATTGACGCATTAAATTCTCAAATTGGTGATGTTAAGAAAAATATAAAGATAGAGGATAATACTGAGCATATTGAAACTAAAATAATGCCTTCAATATTGCTGATGGACAGCAAATGTATGAGGGTGTACGCTGTCGACGGCAGGGAGTACATGGCAAGCATTCCGTTCCAAGTCAAGAAAGTGTGGCCAATGAAGTATGGTGTTTTATTAGAGAAAGACGCGTCACCGCAAGTGCACAACCCAGTGTTGCCAGCATCGTTCTTCAAGTTCAACGACTCTTGCAATAGTTCCTTATCAAAATCGAAGAGCAACTTCCCTTTCAACATGAGTGCGAAGCTGCGGTCGGAGTCACTTCTCGGCTACGATCAGGAGTACCCGTTACCAACGTGCTTTTCTCTATCACATCCGTTAGACGAAGTCACCCCTATTCTGATGAAGTCGCCGTCACAAGGCCTGCAATATTACAACGACGGGGACGTCCAAATAATATTCGTCAGCGTCAATCCCAGTATAATATTGCTGTACGATTGGAAGTTGGGTACGCACTCGCTGTGGAAGATCAGGAAGGCGACTCGCGACGAGTGTCTCAGCGTTTGTCCGAACATGAACTCAACGACTACGGTGTTCAGCCAGTCGTGCGATTTCGTCGGGAGCCCTATGCAGAGTATGGGGAGGAACGCCACCAGCTGGACGGGCGGAAGTCCGTTCCAGTCGAAGAGAGGCTTGAACACACCGAACCGGTCGCGGCAGAACAGCCCAATGGCCAACATGTTCCACCAGCAAGGGTTGTCCCCCCACGCGTCCATCGGCCAGGCCTCCTCAACGTCGATGTTAGCCAACACGATGACCCAAGCGCCCCCTTCCCTGCCGTTGTACCCAGAAATATGCTTGGATCACATTTGGACGGACGGCCAAGTCATCCGCAGAGATCCAATCGAGAGTGCAACAGATATAAAGACCTTCTTGCATACAGACCTAGTCGGCCACAATTACCTGTGCTTCTTGGTCAAAGTGGGCGGTGTGAATAAACTGCAAATCATAAGGCTGCAGAAGTCACATTCGCACGGGCAAGCAGAGAAGAGGAATATCATCGTTGGTTCTGTATCATCAGTGTTTGCAAAAGATGCTGTTGTATTGAACGATTTAAATATGATCGCATTAATTGATGAGACTGGAAACATCATATTGCAGTCAGGAAACTCTGTTGTTGGAAAGGTAATTTGATAAGTACTAGATACTTACGATTTTTAAAATAATCTTAGCTCAGAAATAAAATCCAAAAATCAGTTAATTCAGTCATTCATGCTCCTCTTGTGACTTTTGATTGAAGGAGAAACCAGGTCACCAACAAGACATAATCGAATATGCTAAGAAAAATAACTAAACAGTTTGGTTTGTTTCAAAAACACTTCCACAACATTCAAGATTAGCCCATACATCTCATTGTAAAAAGGTCTCAGAAGCGTTTGGTATTTAAAGTCCCAGAGAGTAGTAGGGCCGCGTACGCAACAGTCTTCGCTACTGCACAAATGGGTACATCCGTCCGGGGAAATACCACACCTCATATAAAACCGGTGTGAAATGAAAGTGTTATACTTGTCCATTTCGAGTGAGCTTAACGGAGCCCTCTTTAGGTGTTGCAACTGTCCATGGGCGGCAGTTATCACCTAACATCAGGGGAATGCCTCACCATCACGATTTCCTCTCATCAGGTGCACGTGGGCGGGGTGCTGGCGCGGCTGCTGGACTCTCCGTACACGAGGCGGTCGCTGCCGCCGGCCAGGGCCGCCCCGTTCCCGCGCCGCAGCAGCCTGCTGCCCAGCCGCGCCCCTGACTGCGCCCTGGACGACTCGGCGCTGCACCTCCTCTCGCCCGTGCCCCACCCGTCCGCCTCCAGGGTCGACCACAAGGAGAGCCCGGGTGGGTGCTCACACCTTTTGCTTTATTATCGGAAAATTAACGTTGTGCTATAGACATAATTTTTTTTTTTTTTTTTTTTTTTTTTCAAAATTTCCACTTCACAGCGTTCAGTGACCCGAATTAACTTTTCGATGAGCGGCTTAAAGTCTGGGTTTTCTCGGTTGCCAAATTGGGCCTTCCCGCGTTGCCTACTCATATTATTGAGCAGGACATCGCATTCACAAATTATGTGAAGCGGTATATCTTCGTCATCACCGCGTAATTTACGAAATGGGCTCTCCGACAGTCCCATTCTGTTCAATTGCTTTTTAGCATCCAGTTCGGAATGGGAATTGAACAAAAATCAAAAAATCAAACCACTCGCTCCTACGCATTTTTTCATTACATCTAGCCTTTCGGCCAATAAAGGCTGTCGAAGAATACATACAGGCCATGGATGTGTGGAAATAACTTGCTCTGTCCTTTTGCTGCCGCTAATTTCATACTTAAATACTTTTGTGTACTTATGTAATTAAAAAAATAAAATATATAACACCATAGAGTTTCTTGGCGGTTTTTCTCTGTACATGTCTAGGTGGTAGTTTTGGGACACACAATAAGAGCTCAAAATAAGCCTATATTGAATAAAGAAATTTCGCCCCCCACCAGGCCTGCGGGGGCTGTGCGACCCCGCCGGCTCGCGGCTGACGCTGCGCCTGGAGAACGGCGTGCTGTACCGCATCGCGCTGCCGCCCCTCGCCGCGGCCGCCCTGCCGCCGCGCGCCGCCAGCGCCCTGCGCGCCCTCCTGCCGCGCGACATCGCCATGCAGGTCGCCGCTGCCACCACTCGCCTAAGCGGCCCCGCCTCTGACCACCACTGGCCACATGGGACAGATATGCGAGCCAGCGGTTCTCATGACGTTAAGAGACTGCCGCCCATTGACACTTAAAACACCATTTGGGTTGCAGATTCTTTTAATAAGCCCACATTATTGCCCCCGCTACCTCACTTACCAGATGAATTGCAGAACTATAACACTTCCACTTCACGCCGGTTTTCTATGAGGTTAACTGGACGGAACTGGATGGAACGGTACCCCTACCACTGTTAAAAGATAAGATAACATAGTGTTTAATAATTATTTACATTAAGAATTTCTAATCTACTCACTCCTCACTGTTTCATACACATTTAAGACCACTTGCCTGCACGTTTCGCAGGTGCTAATCAAGTGGTACGGCGTGCGCAACGCGCCCGGCTCCCAGGACCTGACTCCGGAGCAGGAGTGGGCGATGTTCTCGAAGCTGCTGCTGTCGCTGGTCGGCTACGACGTGGAGCGGCTCGGCCAGACGCGCCGCTGCGACGAGGACCACGCCGAGGTGGCCACCAAGAAGCAGAGGACGTCCAGCGACGGCACCCAGGACGACTGGGACTACCTGCTCAGCTCCAAGATGCACAGGGCCATAGGCAGCTCGCTCGCTACCATGCTCAACCTCAACCCCGCCCACCCGGAAGGCAAGCACTGGAGGCCCGGCAAGCGGGTGGACGCGGACAAGCCGTCGCAGTTCAACCCGAACGCCCTCCTCTTCCCGTATATGCTGAACGTGTTCTACTCTTTCCACCTGCTCTACGAGGATCTCAAGCTGAACATCCTGCTGTCCAGCAACCTCAAGCCCCTATCGGCGTTCCTATACCAGCTGGCGAAGGATCTGAGACTGTCCGGCTACGTCCATCACTACTGGCTGGATTTCCCGGCGGATTACAACTACGAGTACGACGTCGCCGACTCGCAGATAACCGAGGCCGTTCTGAAGAAACTGCCGGTGCCGAACTACTTCAGCCAGGAGCCACCGGTCTTCTTCGGCTACCTGAACTCGATGCTAAAGGACGTGGACGCAGGGCTGTATCCTCACCTGCCGGAGGTCAACAACACCAGTCGAGATCTTGTCGAGGTCAGGGGGAATCATTTCAATGCTATTACGTAATTAAAAATTGTGCCGTCAGAATTTATAGTAAATTTTTGTGGGATGGAATCTCTGTTCCAAATCTTAAATCTGTTCACTCTTAAACACTATCTTTCCCACTTAGATTATAAGTTAGGAAGATACCATTTGAACTTATTGTTGTATAATAATAATGAATAATAATTTCTTATATTATGACGGACACAACATACTGTAAAACGAACCAATTTTTATGCCTTGATTTTAAACTTCTAATCACAATGTATGGAAAAATATTACTGCATTCGTAAGAAAATAAACGCGATAATATCCCAATAAATAGAGTAGTATTATAAATTATATTAAAAAATTTTCGAATTCTCTACAATACGAAATAACAAAATAAATAACGATTATATAGCCAAAAATTTGAAAAACAAATATTTTATCTTACTAAAAATAATTCAATAAAATAATCAGATACTGGCGACGGTTGGGTACGGGCGCGGTGCCGGGCTGGTGGTGCCTGGGGGGCCGCAGGCGCCGGGCAGCAGCACCCCGCGGCCCAGGGCTTCGCCCTCGGGCTCCACGGGCGACTCGCCCTACGCCCAGGCCGCTCTGCTCGCCTGCGAGAGAGGTATGTTTATGTTTATGGTTGGAACCTGAAGGTAGTTCAGTCGTATGAAGAAAACAATGGTGAGGGAGCCTCGCAATAGTCTTTGCTATCGCATGAGTGGGCAAGCTCATCTCACAACCTCACAGAAATGGAAATGCGAGGTGATCGGGGCTCGCTTTATAAAAACGTTGTAAAGTGTTGTAAAGTCCATACAAAAAATTAACATAAGGTAAACTGCCAGCTCGCTTGGCACTGAGTCACATAAAAAAATTTACAGTTGAATACTTTTGTAGATAGCAGATGAGACATTTACTGGTTTTTCATTGAAATGTACTCAGTAAAATGAAGTTGAAATCTTTTGTTCTGAATAGAACTGTTTAAACTGAAGTTAAACCACATCAACTTCCCTGATAGCAGGTTAACTGATTTAGAAATTATTGTATTGGCTTTTGTTCAATGATATCATTAAGAAGTAGTAGCACCTTTTTCTCTCTCTTTTTTTGTTTCTATTTCCTTTAATGCGTATTGATACCTAGCGAGTGAGAGATCAGATCCCGCCTTAAACGGTATTAACCTCAACGGCCACTCGTGCGCAGGGCTGACGCTGCGCGGGGTGGAGCTGTTCCCGCCGGCGGTGGGGCTGGCGCTGCTGGGCGTGCTGAGCCGCTGCAAGGGCGCGCCGCCGCCGCACTGGCCGCCAGAGGCGTGCGCGCTCGCCATGCGCGACGACCTGGCCGAGCTGGCCAAGGCCGCGCGCACCCTGCACGCCGCGCCCGACCGCCTCGAGAGTGAGTCTACCTCTTTCTCTTTCTCTGTCTCTCCGGCCAACTTCGTGTCACCCTGCTCCCCGCCCCAGATTATCTCGAGAGTGAGACGCACGCACTTCTCCATCCTGTTCTTTCTCTCCGGCCAAGTTCAATCACCTGCACGCCGCGCCCGACCGCCTCGAGAGTGAGTCTACCTCTTTCTCTGTCTCTGTCTCTCCGGCCAACTTCGTGGCACCCTGCTCCCCGCCCCAGATTATCTCGAGAGTGAGACGCACGCACTTCTCCATCCTGCTCTTTCTCTCCGGCCAAGTTCAATCACCTGCACGCCGCGCCCGACCGCCTCGAGAGTGAGTCTACCTCTTTCTCTGTCTCTGTCTCTCCGGCCAACTTCGTGGCACCCTGCTCCCCGCCCCAGATTATCTCGAGAGTGAGACGCACGCACTTCTCCATCCTGTTCTTTCTCTCCGGCCAAGTTCAATCACCTGCACGCCGCGCCCGACCGCCTCGAGAGTGAGCCTACCTCTTTCTCTTTCTCTGTCTCTCCGGCCAACTTCGTGTCACCCTGCTCCCCGCCCCAGATTATCTCGAGAGTGAGACGCACGCACTTCTCCATCCTGCTCTTTCTCTCCGGCCAAGTTCAATCACCTGCACGCCGCCCCGAACCACCTCGAGAGTGAGACTCACGCACTTCTCTCTCTTTCTCTCCGGCCTAGTTCAATCACCTGCACACCACACCAGACCACCTCGAGGGTGAGACCACGCACTTTTACCTTTTTCTCTGTCTCTTCGGCCAAGTTCAATGACCTGCGCGCGCGCCCCACACGCCGCCCCCGACTATCTCGAGAGTGAGACTCTTTGTCTTTCTCTTTCTCTCCAGCCAAGTTCAATGAGCTGGTCGAGCTATCCCAAGCCCCCGACCACCTCGAGAGTGGGACTACCTCTTTCTCCACCCAAATTCAATGACCTGCTACTTACTATGACATACTTCTCCCTTTCTGTCTGCCTCCCACCATGGGAAATGTTGGATTCATTCATTTGTCCCTTACCTTCCAAATTTTCCTCTGTGCTCTCTAAAACCCTCCTCACAGTGTCCTACTTCTTCTCATGTACCTATTCAAACACAATCAGTATAATCCCACAAATTAGGGTTTTTTTACTAATACTACTATTGTATCTTATATTCATACCGTTACCAGGTATCTTATTGTATTGTATTATGAATCTGTGCGTGTCCTTCGTCTGTCCTCTCAGTCTGAATTAAACCGCAGCGTTGACCACTCGTGTGTTTCATTTCAAATACTTCACTTATGTTCATGCCGTTTTACAGATTTCAGCAGAGAGTACCTAATCTCTTTGTTATATGCCACCAAACCACTATAATAATTAAAACCCCTTTTAATCTTAAATCAAATAACTGTTTGTCTTTACAGCTTTAGCACTAGCTTCGCTAGAGAAGGAGTCTGCATTTTCAGTAACCAGCAGATCCATAGAAGACCCCGTAAACAAGAATGAAGAGAATGACACCACCACAGGCATGGAGCACCTGAACACCAAGTTGCTCAAACTATTATACCCTCGAGATCACCGGTGAGACTTTTTAAAGTTTTGTTGAGTAAATTTGATTAAATTGAAGATTAAAGTTTTGTTACACCTTTTTAAACAGAGTTACTTTAATGTTTTAAGGGTTCCATAACGCAATTGGTGAAAAGGGGAATCTTAAAGGTTCAATTTGCTTAGAGCCCATTCTTTTAGCAACAAGTAGGATAATTCGTTGAAATTTATGTTCAATAATTACATTGAATAACTTGGCATTGTAACTTATCATTGCAACATCTGTTGATGGCAGTAATAAAACAGACTTAGCTATTCTTATATTATAATTTTTATTCTCTGTTACACATGGTAGGTTGTTAGATGGAATAAATCCAGATAGTGATCAGATTATTGTAGTTACAATGTTTCTGTTATCCATACACTGAAAACGATTGAACTTGCAGAAGATTCCTTTTATTACATTAAAATATTCCACATGAGGTCTAATTTACACTCGGCCCACTGTTTCCAGTATGACGGAGGTGTTCAGCCTGCTGCAGTCCTCGATCCCGGTGAGCATCAACCTGACGCAGCGGCCAGAGGTGTCAGACCACGACTTCATCGAGGAGCAGGAGAAGTACCTCTTCGCGGTCAGCACGCGCACCCTGGCCCTGCCGGTGGCCAGGTATGGTGTGACGAGTGCAAGAGAGATATTTATTTTATTTCTTTATTTGTTCAAGGAAAACAAACAGCTATATTTTAAATTAACATAATAAAAATACAGTGTAAATCTCTAATCCAGTAAAGTTTCCACCAAAAGTAAAGTCATATAATAGACATTACTTGTTTCGTCTGGTGGTTCACCTGAAGTTTAGTGAATACCGCCCATGGACATCTGCTACACCCGAGGGTTGCAGATGCATTGACAACCTTTTGAAAATTGGACGGCCACATCACTCACCAGACGAAACGCAAAATTGTTATACTTCCACTTTACGCCGGTCCTCTGTGAGGTCGCGGTATTTACCCGGAGGAGCATGCCCATTTGTGCAACAGCCGAGGTTGCTGCGTGGCCTATACCACCGTGGCCATACTCTACTACTTGGAATCTACCAACTACTACTACGGAATCTATTAACTGTACACCGTTGGTTTTATTTTTGACCAACTCCCTTTCAAGCTTCTCGAACTTACGATTCGAGCAAACACTACGAGTCTCGCTTCTCCTACTTCTGTTCGTAGTCACCCAAGCATTTAGCCGTTTGTGTTCGCTCGGACGATACAACAGGGGCATGGTGACGCTGCGCAGCCTGCCGCTGGCCACGACGGAGGCGCTGTGCGCGCCGCGGCTGACGGCGGGCGGGCGCGGGCCGGCGCCGCGCCGCCACGCCGTGCCGCCGCCCGACGCGCAGCCGCCGCTCTGGCCCGCCTTCCACAACGGCGCCGCCGCCGGCCTGGCGCTGGTGCCGCTCGCGCCGCGCGCGCTGCGCCACACCTGGGTGCTCTTCAACAGGCCACGGGTGAGCCGGGCCCGCTATTCTTCGTCGAACACATCACGCACACCAGCTCGATGTCTGCGTTCTCACCCGGGTGCTCTAAAACAGGCGTGACCATCTCCCGCTCCCACACACGTACGCACACGCACGTACGCATGCAAGCACACACACTCGCTCACTTCTCACGTATTGCTTCACCGCAATTCTACAGGCACATCACACAATATCTCCACACACTACACCCTCATAGCTCTGTCCTGAGCTTCACCTTGGAACTCTAATTAAATCTACAAGATGCTCAGTATAGCCCCTCCCTTTCGCTTGCTTCACCACCGTTCTACGGGCACAATACTCAAACATTTACTTAAGCAAATCAAGTTATTTCCAGGTGCCCGACACCTTACACATTTATCACATAACGATGCCTATAATATATTGCTCTCTGTACTGAAGGCATTTAGTGAGACATATCAATGCTATTAATTAACTTTTTTTTTTGCACACACTCAGCGCTTTCGAATGATAGAGTGGCCTTTACACATCCACACATTCTGAGTATTTTACCAAATAGCCCAGTATGTCATCAGTTTAATTCTATTTTATTCCATCAGATCTTATAAGTAAATTTCAAACCCAAACAGCCATCACATACATATATATGGAAGGAACATCAACATGTATTTATTAGTAATAATTACATTTCTCATTCATCGTTTCTCTCGAAAATGAATTAGCAATTATGATAATATCTCATGAATTATTATAAAATCAAAAGTTTTTACTAAATCTAAATTATTATAATTATGTATTACAGGGTCCCCAAGACATGACCACCGAACATGCCGGCTTCCTTCTAGCATTGGGGCTGAATGGGCACCTAAAGGACATGCCCTTCATGAACATCTACGAATACCTCGTCAAGTGCAACGAAATGATCAGTGTTGGGCTGCTATTAGGATTGGCAGCCACCTACCGTGGTAAGCTTATTATAAATTAAATTAAGATGAAATTTAAGATTAACTATGGTATAATATAAGTGATTTTTAATTAAAAAAAATATAGTTATGTTAGTAACATTATTAAATAAATAATTTCTTATAGGAACTATGGACGTGCAAGCGACAAAGATGATGAGCATCCACCTGGAACCACTGCTGCCGCCGACATCTATCGAGCTGGACATCCAGCAGAGTATATTGGTGGCAGCGCTACTGGGGGTGGGACTTCTCTACCAGGACACTTGTCACGCCCACTACGCTCAGATTTTACTTAACGAGATTGGTATGTTGATAACTTACTAAATACAACACTTAGTAATGTTGTCTTTTTATACTTAAAATAATTTTGATTATTTCTAAAAAAATTGCAAAGGAGTATATTTGACATTTCTCACAACTAACAAAAAAAGGGCCGACGGTTTTGATTTTTGTTCCATGAGCATGAAATGTTATCGAGCATTTGAAGGGGGATTTTAAAAATTAAAATTGAATCCATATGATAGTTCCATTTAACCACATATAGTATTCAGGCAGTCAGTTCACATTCAGTTCTCAAGGAAATTATGCGTTATTTAATTGTTATAATTATCATATCATGGTTTTTTTTTTTTTTTTTATGTGAAAAGTCAAACGAGCAGACGGTTCACCTGATGTTAAGTGAATACCGCTGCCCATAGACATCTGCTACACCCGAGGGTTTGCAGATGCGTTGACAACCTTTTGAAAATTGGGCTCATGGTGTATCATTGTACCTAACTATATCAATTTCGTAATAAAGTCTACTATCATTCTTATAAATTCTATTATTATTTAAATTAACATAATCAGTGTAAGGGAAGTAGGTCCAACAAGCGCAAAAACAAGAAATCAATAAGGGCGGTATTGTTTTTCCTTCTCTCTCTTCCAAGCTATATATTCCATATGGTGGTGGGGTCAGTTTTCCTTATTGTTGCTCTCGCTCTATCGTCGACATATTCATTGCATACTTGACATTACTTAGCACTACATTTTTCCATCTTTTTTTCGGCCTACCTCTGGAGTTTTGTTGTTTTTTCTATATCATCGTCATCATTTCAGCCTGTTTGGGTCCACTGCTGGACATAGGCCTCCCCCACAGAGTGCCACGAAGCGCGACCTTGAGCCACCTGCATCCATCGACTTGTAGTGGGGGACACACTTGCACAGGTCGTCTTCCCCAACGGTTATCGCCTGTTTGAAGTGAAAACTTGTTTTGCACAACACGGTGACAGGGCGGCCGCCCGGGCCCGAGGCGGAGAGCTGCGTGGAGCGCGAGGGCTACGCGCTGGCGGCGGGGCTGGCGCTGGGGCTGGTGTGCGTGGGCGCGGGCGGCGGCGCGCCCCCGCGGCTGGCGCAGCGGCTGCGCGCGCTGGTGCTGGGCGGCCGCGAGCCCAACGCCGACGTGACGGCGCCCGGCGCCACGCTCGCGCTCGGCCTGCTCTTCCTGCGCCGCGGCGAGTGCGCCCCCGCGCGCTGGCTGCGCCCGCCGCCCACGCCCTACCTGCTCGACTTCGTGCGCCCAGACCTGCTCATGCTGCGCGTCATCGCGCGCGGTGAGCCCTTCCTATCCGCCCGACTAGCCTCCTCCTCGCTCCCGTATCTCCGAAGGATACCGTGACCCAGACACAATTTCTTGCAACAAACATCCAAATTCAGTTCGAGACCTTTCCGATGATACTAAATTTTACAAAAAAAAAACATTTTATTATATAAATATAATGGAGACAATTTGCCTTATATTACTATTGAAATTAAAACAATGATATTGCTGTATGAGCTAGGTTGTCAAGACATAGACATTCAGCAAACTGATTTAGCAACAAACACTATAAAACAAAAATTAGTTAATGTCAACACATCAACAACCATATCAATGACTATTACCATATGCTTGTACTTTAACTACTTTCTGATCACAGGTTTAATTCTTTGGGACTCCATTGAGCCGACAGAAGAGTGGATAGAAGACCAGGTGCCTGAGACAATAAAGCCGTACTGCTTCGTGAAACCCACTGAAGAGCACATCGACTACGAAGCTATGAAGTAAGCAAACAAATAGGTATTTCATAAAAAGCAACTAAATACAAAACATGATGTAAAATTTATTACTTTTTATTAAATTTATTATCGTTAATGATTTATAATATAAAAATAACAATAACTAACTTAACGTACTGAAATCTTTACTTGTTCAATTTGAGAAATAAAGTGAATAGTTATTGATAATTTTTCCATTTAGTAAGTATTTTTGAAGTCTTTTAACAAAAGTAAAAAAAGTGGTTATGTGTTTAGTTTTCTAGTATCTAAGGGCTGATTGATAATGTTTAGGGTGGTCCAATGTCACGAAGTTGTCAGATGTCTAGATGTGTTGGGGGTGTTTGAGGTGTTGGTGTTGTAGGATGCGTTGGGGTTTCCGATGTGTTGGGGGTGTCAGATGCGTTGGGGGTGTCCGATGTGTTGGGGGTGTATGATGCCTAGGGCGTGTCCGATGTGTTGGGGGTGTATGATGTGCTGTCCGATGCGTGAAGGGCGCTTGCGGTCCGCAGCCAGGCGTACTGCAACATCGTGGCGGGCGCGTGCTTCGCACTGGGGCTGCGCTTCGCCGGCTCGGGGCTGGAGGAGGCGCGCGACGCGGCGCTGCAGTGCGCGGCGCGGCTGCTGGGCGCGCGCGGCCGCCGGCTGGCCGGGCTGGCCGGCGCCTCCACGCTCGAGGCCTGCCTCTGCCTCTGCCTGCTGGCGGCCGGCATGGCGAGTGCCTCTATTGTGCTGCAGCCTTCAGACTCTACTGATCGTGTTCATTTCTTCTCATTTGGGGAACAATGTCGCTCTCATGCTCTGCCAATTTGTTGCATCATCTCCCGGAACAGGGGATTTAGTCCTAACTCTTGAATGACATAATAGTTGCCAAACGAGCAGACGGTTCACCTGATGGTAACTGAATACCGCCGCCCATGGACATCTGCTACATACTTCCACTTTACGATGGTCTTCTGTGAAGTCGTGGTACTTACCCGGACGGGCCTGCCCATTCGTACAACAGCCGAGGCTGCTCCGTGACCCTACCGCCGTAATTAACCGTTGCTACTCCAACTAACCTCGAGAATAGATATACTGCCACAACAGATGTGTAGATGTGTAATAATTGCATTAACGAACAGTTGTTGGAATATTTGCACATTGAAGAAAAATTTAATTAATATAATTAAATTTGTCCCCTCCGCTAACCTCAGTATGTAATACTGAAATCATTCATGCCTTATATAAATCTCTATTCGCGTGTGGCCGGTTGCAGATAATGAGCGGGCGCGGCGACGTGCAGGTGCTGCGGCTGTGCCGACGGCTGCGGGCGCGGCTCGCGCCCCCCGCCGCCTCGCCCGCCTCGCCCCCGCCGCCCCTATCGCACGGCGCACAGGTTAATATACATGTCGCGGAATCAAGAAGTGGCGCCGTAATTTGATTACAACGCCATCTATTGGTAGCTCGGAAACGTCAAGGAGTGCGCTTGAGTAAGGTCGATACAGGAAGTGAGAGAGTGGACTTGACGGTTATGAGTTGTGGAAGTCAATTGACATCGGACACGGGGGTGTGTTCTGGACGTGCTGGGGCACGCCACTTAGAAAAGGGACGGCGGTGCGAGCGGTCATCTTCCTGTATCCCTTACATCAGTGTTGTTAATAGTTATTTTCGTTATTGTTGATTTTAATCGAACAAGTAAACTACAATGCTACGTGATAACCTTTATATTGTGCGTACAACATGTCTGATTAGGGATCTGACAACGAGTTGTCCTATGTGGCCTGCCCAATCTCAATATATATATATATATATATATACTGCTGTTACAGCCGCGACCTTAAATGAACACTACTAACGATCCTTGCCAGTAATCATGAAAAAATAAAAACGTTAAAATAAATTATAATTAAAAAAAATATGTTCAAAGTAAACTAATTAATTAACAAAAGAAACAAAATTTTTAACATCCTATACAACTAGAACTGACCGATTCATACATTCCGAGACTTTCATTTGTTGCCACAACATCAATTATATTTTTTACAAGTCTCTCCTTCTAACAGTATGTTTTATCTGTTTTAAAATCATTCTACTCATCCATATGCTTTGTCACTTTTACAAATGAACTTTACGTTACAGCTGTTCGTACGGGTGTTCTGAAATTATTTGTTTTGGAAAATTTAATAATTCGGTAAAAGTTGATGTTTAAATAAAGTAAATGTTCAATACAATTTTAAAAAGTTATACTCTTTATGTGGGTTTGTTCAAGGTCGCGGTAGTAGCGCCACATTGTATATTCTACCAAGGCTTCTACATTACTAGTTGCCCATTGATGACTCCGTGGCAGCAGTTGCAGCTTGGGGTCATGGATTCGATTCCCAAACAAGAGAACTACTTATGTGACCCACGGATAATTATTTCGGATATGGGTGTTTATCCACGTGAAATTTATGTAAGTTCACCTGATGCTAAGTGATAACCGCCGCTCATTGACATTTGCAACACCGGTAGGGTTGCAGGTGCGTTGGCAATTTTTAAAAGTGGCCTCCCCGGCTTCCACACTCAAAAAGGCTAACTCAATGACTTTAGGTATTTCCTATTAGTCAATCACTAAGCAGTAAATTTAAATAAATAAATAAAGTCATAAATTCCTAACCATATAAATGGATGGCTAATGAAAATTGACATAAAGTTATACAGTATTTTAGTGTTAGACCGCTACCCTAAAACCCTCAACTATTATGTTTCCAGATGGCCGTGCACTGCACCATTGGTCTGCTGTTCTTAGCGGGTGGTCGTGCCACGCTCAGCACATCCAAAACTGCTGTGGCCGCCCTTCTCATTGCCTTCTTCCCTAAATTCCCTACACACAGTGAAGACAACAGGTATGCCCGATGATAGTACACACCACAATATCAACATTTTGGTTTTCTTAATACATATTATCATAACCCCCGCCGCAGCTTCTTATGTCGTTAGTCGGATTCTCTGGAAAAACAGCTGGAGATAGGTGTAAAGTGACATTTCTATTGTTGGAAATTGGGGCACAATTTTAAGGGCAACTTTTTTGAATAGACTCTGTAAATGATATTACATTAAATTAATGTAATAACATCTCACGCCCGGTTTCTGAAACACTGATAATCGTAGATGTATCTGAATTGACCAGAATGATCTTGTTAATGATCAGAATGATCAATTCAAAGAGTTTAACAATCCTTTTGGCAACTCAAATACATTTAAAAAGCCATTTGACAGCTGGTTAGTTGACATTTACGATTATCAGTGTTTCAGAAACCGGGCATAAGACTTAGTACTTACCATCAGGTGAAATGGTAGTCAAGCAGTGGCTGTCGAGTTCGTTCACTGCCAGCAGGTGATCCTTGTTTGCCGTCATCCATAACAAAGATTTGGTTGAACTGCTCGCAGGTACCACCTGCAGGCGTTCCGGCACCTGTACGTGCTGGCGGTGGAGGCGCGACTCCTGCTCCCGCGAGACCTCTCCAGCGGGAAGCTCTGCTACGCCCATCTGCAGGTGTGCAGCGACTCTTGAAAGCTTCCTAATGCCTCTGGGACATTTCTGCATCGGTTCAAAATTACTGCTGTGTTATCTATAACGAGAAACACAAACTACTCAGATACCAGACAATGAAATTTATATTGTGAATAATTATAGGCCAAATGACATTTTAATAAAAAAAAATCTCAAACAAATCTCAAAAAATAAATAATAATATTTCATACTGTAAAAGCAAAATGATTTAACAGCAAAATAAATGTTTGGTGTTCAAGTAATTTTGCCTTTCCAGTGGCAAATTATGATTTTTTTACGTTTTAGGTTATAGACCTCCAAGGTGTGGTGAAAGAAATGAAGGCGCCATGCATCATACCAGAGCTTAACACGTTGAAAGAAGTGAGGATTAATGATCCCAGATACTGGCCAATCGTTTTCCAGAGGGATCAGAACTGGGACTTACTGGAGTAAGCTATCTTGTTCTATGTAATCTCATTACACTTACCTGTACTTATTAAAAACCATCATAAAGGTAAAAGTAGAAGAAGAACATTACTAATTAACTTCTAAAAATAATCGTCGATTAGAGTCAACAAGCAATTTTCTTTGCTGCATGAATGAGTTGGCATCAGAAGAATGGTCAAATAGTAAAATGGGGCAGAGAAAACAAAAATATATTCTCATAAATAAAGTGTACAATGCATTTACAACACTGTAATAGATTCGCTTTGTTTCCTCGTTTCATTTACTTTCTTCAAATAGTACTGTAGTGAGTTGTGGTATTTCTACACAGTTATGGTAATATTAAGGTTGCTGGAAGAAATTGCTACCTTAGCAATAAGGTATATTCCATTCTATTCTCTACTAATCACTAAGGATGTCGAAAGTAAAATATATCAATATATCGATATTTTTAAACATATCGAAGATGAAATACCCCTTCGCCGCAGGACGGTGCTGAAGTACACGTGGTGCGTGGACATAAAGCAGCGCGCGGGCTGCCTCTCGTACGTGTCGGACCCGCTGGGCTTCCTCACCATCCTGGCGCAGACGCTCACGCTGGACAAGACCAACATCTGGCTCGCCACGCCCGAGAACATCGAGCTGTTCACCAACGACGAGAAGGTGCGCGGCTTCGTCAAGCGCTACCTCGGCTCCGACGCGGAGGGCAGCGGCGTCTGCGCCAGCTGCCTGCTCGCCGGCCGCAGGGCGGGCGGCGTAGCGGCCGGCGTAGCGCGCCGCTGCCGCTGCCGCCGCTACGGCGTAGAGGAGCAGCACCACGTGCAGGCGCTCAGCATGCTCACCTACGAGTGCCTGGTCAAGGACGTGCTGTGCGCACTGCCCGTCTGGACCACCTTCCTGCAGGTGCCTACCGCCATCATTGACTTCTCGGTCTCTTAGATTGCAATGCGGAATGTGCCACAGACTTCAATTGTAGTTGGTATGTGTGTGGACGAATGTCTTATGAGCGGTGGCAAGTAAATAAATAGCACGGCTTTATGGATATAATGTTTATTCCACTGCACACGAACCAATTTACAATTAGAAGGAGAAAAGTACAGAAGCGGAAAGATTATGAGGCACAGAATAAACAACAATACAGAATAATAATAATAATTTATTAAAATTGATATATAATTTAAAGTGCAAATGTTTATAATAATAAATATAAATATGTTGTTAAATATACTGTGTAAGAAGAGGAAAAGTATGAAGGTACGCCACAGTAGGGTGATTTTGCCAACTACTATCATTGGATTAAGTGCAGATAATATTTTCATTTTCACATTGGGTTGGTATACTTTCTGGACTGCATCCTATTCATCATCATCATCTCAGCCTGTAAGAGTCCACCGCAGAACGGAGGACTCCCTGGCAGACTTCAATGGTAGGGAGCATTTCGCCGTAGTTGCCATCGTTGGAATAGTTTCAGAGATTATTTTCATTTTGACACGGGGCGAGTTTTCTGGACTGTTTGTTGAGGCTATAGAAAGTGACGTCACTAAGCACTGCTTGAGATCATTCCCTGATAGAACATATTCTATTTCCGCGTTATATTTCCTGCTGGATTCCAATGAGATCCAATCGGATCATGTGGTGGCATGTGTATAGTAACAGGTGACATATTAGATCTTTAATTTATTACTTTTGAACTGTCACTATGCACAAAATTATTGAATATGTAACTTGTGCGGTTGGTTGCAGAAATCTAGCGCCAGAGCAAGTGTAAAATCTAGTAGAGATTACGTATTTGACAGTTACCTACAATTATTAATTTCTAGAAGTTTCCGCACGCAAGAAATCATCGAGCGCCTCAATAAATAAAGACAATACTATCCATAAAACTTTTTAACATCCGTCGATTTGAATTGAGGAAAAATGTACCCTTCAATGTTGCAGCTAATAAAGTGCATGAAGACGGAGCCGAGCTCGTACCAGGTGTGGCAGGTGAAGCTGCTGCTTGCCCAGGTGGAGAGCCAGGCGCGGCTGGCCAGCGCCGAGATGAAGGTGGACGGCGAGGAGTCTGGCAGCGATGGCCTCATCTCGATAGAGTTCGCGATGGCGCTCAAGCAGCGCGTAGCCGCCGCCCTGGACGAGTGGGGCGGGCGCGTAGGCCCTCTGCTACGCCGCTACGCGGGCCTCGCCGCCCCAGCCGCTCCGCCCGCCCCGCACCTGCGGCGGCTGCTCGCCGCCTACGTGCTCTACCACGAGGTGGGTTTATAGGATGTGGTAGATTTAAAGATTTAAAAAATGTAGATTTATTTAGTGCTTATGTTATCATCAAATACGTTCGGATGACAAACTTTCGGCATTCCCCACCAATATGTCGTGGTATCGATAATTGTAATGGTTGCATATATTGCATTGTGGTTCAGGTGCCGCCCGGCGCGCTGGCGACGCCCGGCGGCGTGGCAGCGCTGGCGTGTGGCAGCTCGCCGCTGTCGGCGGCGGCCGTGGCAGCGCTGGCGCCGCTCGTCAGCTGATGGCGGGACGCGCGCGCCGCGCCGCGCACGCGCCTCTGACGCGGCCTCGCAGCGCCCCTCCGACGCCCCGCGCCCGCGAGGCGCCGCACTAGAGCGCCCACTCGAGCGCTCCACTAGAGCGCCCGACTAGAGCGCCCCGGCGACCCTGAAGCGACGCTCGCTTTGTGAACATTGTGAAGTGACCTACTCAAGAGCACCCAATCGCAGCCTGGAAGTTAACTGGAGCTCCCCGGCGGCGCTGAAGCGACGCGTCCACCGCCTCTTAGTGTGCTTTGTGAATATTGTGAAATGACTGACACAAAAGCACCCAATGCCAGCCAAGAGACCGACTAGGGCGTCCCAATGAAGCTCAAACGACCGTTTTCAATATATTTTTTTTTATTCTATCTACAAATAGATTTCGTGACTAGGGATGGGTATTTGACATGAGCTCCATAATACTTATGTCAAAATTCTAACTGCAGTAACCAAATCTATCTGCAGATTGAATATTGAAACTGGCTGATGGTGTGTTCCATGTACATTGTGAAGTGACAAGAACACCTAATCACAGTGTGTAAATTTGGGTGCGAGCAGTTTTCTAGTGAAAAATTATCCTAAATAATTGGTGTATTATGTACACAGGTACATAATATACAATTATTTAGGATAATTTTTACCAAAAATAAACCAGTGTGCATCTTATTTTACAATAGTATCAGAAAAGGAACCTAGTTATTGCATGTTTTATAAATTATATTGCAAAAAGGAATTTCTCACCTATGAGGAGTGTTACTGTTACTAGAATGGCACGCCCGACTGGTATATCTGTCACGTTTCTTCGATTAAAATAAGAAGCTATAGAAGAAGCGATAACAGCCAAACGTAAAATAAAAACTTATTTATACTTTATTAAAATTAAAGTTTAGAATCGACTACTTCTATTGGATCTGACTGGCAAATGTTCAGAAAAATTCAATGATGATGATGAATGATAAAAAAATCTTTAGCATATAAAGTTTTTCTGGTATATTTATATGTTCAATTGTATTAAGATATTAACCTAGAACTTGTAAGCCAGTAGATACAGTATTTTATGACTAATACACATTAAGTAACTTGTAACTTCTTTTACTCAACAATAACCACTTAGATTCATGTAACTAGCCAATTAAATTTTAACTTAATTTGTGCATGTATACAATCAAAAAATAATTTATGCATGTTAACAAATAATTAAATTTTGGTTAGAATTTTCACATTTATTATGTAATGCTCTATGTTCTCAATTGGTGCTGGCACCAAATTAGAACTTGAGTTCTAATTGAGTGCCACCACCAATGCAATTATTAATTTTATGTGCTAACTAATTATGTGCTGAGTGTTAAAGGGAAACATTGTGAGGAAAACTGCTCAAAAATAAAGTATATTTCAAATATATGTTAAGTCTGCCAATCCTCAGTGGGGTTGAGTGGTGGACTATGTACAGAGTATGCCTGTTGTAGAGGACACATGCATAGGCTGATATTTTACTAGAATAACACAAATAAAATAGTTATTAGTCAACTTTTTCCGCCATGTCGTTACCCTATCCTTATTACCACTTGAGGCAATTAGGGGATTATTATTAGCAGATTATTATTCACCCCCTTGCGTCATCACATAGCCCCCGCCGACATTTGGCAATATCGGTCATAGAGGGTCCTATTGTTCAAAACAATTTGTTTGTTTGTTTGAATAAATATACAGGGTGATTTTATAGACGAAGTATGTAAGTATAATGTTAATTGAGAATTCCATAAGTCAAAAAAAAGTTTTTTCCATAATTAAAAGAAAAACTTTTTGAATCATGGAATGCTCAATTTTATTTTATTTTGACAACAAATATCCAGAAAAATCTCAATTCAAACATTGTTTGTTTATCCCGTTAAGAGTGGTCACCCTATTGATAAGCGGTTTAGTAATTATGCGATCAGCGAAAAGTTTTAGTGCTCGTCAATAAGTTATTGTATTGAGACGGTAAGGCAGGAATTTCTTAAGGTGTCCATAATGTTTGGAAAAATTAAAAATAATCTTTGATAAAAAAAATGAGGTCACAAGTACATACCAGATTCAGATTTAGAATCAAATTCTGCATATGATCTGTTAATATGTCCGTCGTCTATAAAATCACCATGTATAAATAAAACCAAAGAAACATAATTTTCAATTACTATGGTTACAATTATATAAACTAAATATATAAACGATCTTTACAATTTAGTTATGTAATTTAAATATAATGTATCCTAGTAGAATTGTGCACAAAAAGTATCGAAATAGACATCAAAATGGTGTTTAATCTCTAACATAATTATGATATTAAGTGAACAATTCAAGTCTTTTACAATTGTATGAAGTGTAAATTGGTTTTATTTAATGTTCCTGATTGTTAAGATGTGAACGTAAATAAAAATCTAATGACAAAAATCATTAAATTACAAATTATTGTAGATAATTTAATACAAATTTTCGGCGCTCCGGGATTCAAACCTGCGTCTTCCGGCTTCGCGCCCAGACGCTTTACCAACTTAGCTAAGCGGCCGATGACCTCACGGCTGGAATCTCGACATTATCTATTCTTTCTATTGCATTTTGAGCAATGGCAACCATTGGTCATCTTGTATGGACACGATACAACACCTTACAAAAAACATTCAATGATGATTTTCATGATTTTTCAAGATTTGTTATGAAAGAAAAATCTTTTGAGTTTTGAAACACTCAAACTCAATGTGACCAAATCCTTTTCTTTTATCAGATTCTCTTTGTTAAAATAAAAAAACTGCCAAGTGCAGGTATATACAGCGTGTCGTTACCATCGCGACAATAAATGAACACACGTCTATCGCTACTTGCCAATAATCATAAAAAAATATTAACGTTAAACAAAATCCATAATTAAAAAAAAATATATTTTTCAAACAAACTAATTAAGTAAAAAAGAAACAAAATTTGTAACATCCTATACAACTCGCGCATAGCGTCGTATTACAAGCCTCTCCTTCTAACAGTATGTTTTGTCTCTTTTAAATTCATTCAACCCATTCATATGATTTGTGACCTTTACAAATGAACTTTACGTTACGCTTTTATAGGTAAGGATGTTCTAAAATTCTTTGTTTTGGAAAATTTAATAACTCTGTAAATATTGATGTTTAAAGAATTTAAATGTTTAATACAACTTTAAAAAGTTATCCCCTATATGTGTGTTCATTTATTGTCGCGATGGTAACGACACGCTGTATAAAAACAGCAAAAAAAGTCACGTCTGTTTTAAGGGAACCTTTTTTTATTCAGTTTTTTTAATATTTGTTGATACAGAAAATTGCAACTGTCGAACTATATGTTCATATGGTTCATGAGATACAGCCTTGTGACAGACGGACGGACAGACAGAGGGTCCCGTTATACCATTTGCGTACCCTGATAATCCCTTCTGTTTCTTAAGATGATGTGATTACAAAGCATATTAACTAAGCGATGTTCAAATAAATGTAACAAAAGTTATTTCAAGATTATTATAATTATTCTATTAACGGGATGAAATATTTTTTTCGATTCGCAAGACTTAGAAAAAGAACAATTCATATGCAAACAATTAACCTATTTACGATATTCGTGAGTTCGTTATTACTGTGTCTAAGTTAAATTTAAACTTATTACCTTAGTAATTATCGGGGCTGAATACTGCGCGAGACGACCCTACCCATTTACTGTGACGTGGACGAAGCGCACAGTGACTATTGCCAAAACGGGTATCAAGATATCCTTATTTTAATCTTCACCAGAGAAGTTGAATGTTGGAAATAGTGTCATAAGAACATTTCTTATGACACTATGTCCAACATTGAGTGTCAGGCCACGCCAGTGAACCAAAAAGCTTTCTTCAGTTTCTAAAAAAAAACATTTAAGATCTTTAGCTCCAAGTGAAAGAATTAGTGGACTGTGATGATGATGAAATAGATTTTTTCTTTTGGTAAACTTACAGTGAGATGGTTTTTACGATAATTATAACAAAGTTCTTAGTTGATTTATCTATAGTTGTCCATTCCGGTAATTACAAACACGATGTTAAGAGCTCTTATGTTTAACTTGATAAGACTCGATCAATCCGAGTACGATTTTCTATGAAATCATCAATTGCGATTAGTGCTGATTAAAATATGTGCTCGACCAAAAATCAAAATGACTGGGAAGTTAAATTATAGAAATACGTATAAATAAAATTACAAATATGTTCAAGCTGGGATACTGCGGTGGATATGACCTCTGTACAGGGATAGCTCTGTCTTGTGACTGTCCTTTGTTACTTTAACGGCAAAATGCTTTCGTCATATCGTATCATAGAGTCAACATTTCAGTAAGAGCCGGATTTTGCAGATTTTTATAATATATTTTTTTTTCCCGGATAGGATAATTTTATCCTGTGTTGTAAGAACGTTTTACAAACATTTTAACGTGGACAAACACCCGGATCAAAAAACAATTATCCGTGGTCACACAAACACTTCTTCCGGGTGCGAATTGAACCCAAGACAACCCAATTGGCGCCGTATTCAATATTTTGACAACTGCCCCACGAAGTCATCAAGTAAAGTAAGTAATATAAACGTACTGCAATACTAAATTACAGTACCTTTAAAATGCAAATATTGCACGGGATAATTGATTCCCCTGTACTTCTTTCTAAACTAAATATGTATTAGTTTAACACGAGCTGGTGGTCGTATATAGAGACGGAAGGTATTCGGTATTGTCTTGTATCTTGTATTAACTGATGTTTTTGCTTTCAGTCCCGATACTATTAAAGCTTCATCTGACGCAGAACCGGTGGGGTAACCAGAACCCACGGGTTTGGGCCCTCCGCTGTGGGTAGGGCCGCGCATGTGCTAATGCGTGCGTTTAATTACGACATGTCATCTAAGGGCCATCGAAGTTGCGGTGCAGACCGAGACCCCGATGGCCGTCGACTGTGCCATTAGCTAATGGCTGAGAGCGGTGAGAACCGCCTCGGAACGCGGGTGTACCTTGTGTACGCGTTGTGTTGGTCTCGCCGTGCTCGGAGGCGAGGGCGAACTATTGTGTTTGTTGTTACACTAGCTGTGGGTATAGTGTTATCCGGCGGGACCCCCGGCGGTGGGTCCGGCGTATCTAAGTCCCCTTCCTCGACCGGATCGATGAGGACGTTTCGCGGGCGACGCTTGTTGACGTTCGCGTTTGTGTCGGGTTGGTAATTTGCTGCGCTTACCACCAGAGGGTTGGGATGATGTTCGGCTCTATCGAAGAACCGTTAAGTCAGGTCTTTAAATTATTCGCGAATCGTCGGGAGTCTGCAATCGCTCTACAGATCGACGTTGCGTTGATACCACTGCGCTCCGGTTGCACGGCGGATGAACTTATTCCGGTATTGTCCCAATGTTCAGCATTCGCCGATTTATCGTATTTGTTCAAGTTATAATGCCATATGTCCAGAGCTTAACATATTTAACATCCAGTGCAAGATTAAAAAGTTTATTTGTTCTAAGTCATGAAAGGTGTTGATATTTATTTAGCCACTTAATTTATTTTATTTTCTTTATAATTTTTATTATTTCTCTTTAGTTCCTAACTGTATTCATTGTTATTATTTTTCGTCGTAGATTTATTTTTCTTATGTTTATTAAATTATTTTTAAGTTTTACTTTTCTATTTCACATAATTTGAATATTTGTATACCTAGATGTTGAGAGCATTATTTATGTGTAAGCATGATGTGTTAGCTACTAGTGGAGTATTCACTAATGTAAAATATTTTAAAGACATTTCTATAGAAAATGTTTAAGTGTAATGTTCTGTTTACGATACGAAAGAAATTTAAAAAAATGTATCATGGAGTCAAATACCTTCAAAATGTAAGTTTCGTTCTGTGGTTTCTAGTTAGAACTGCTGGTTTTTTTTGTCAGAATGTGGCAAGCGAGCTTGAGGTTCACCTGGTGTTAAGTGATAACCGCCGCCCATGGACATTTGCGACACCCGTAGGGTTCCAGATGCGTTGCCTAATTTTAATGAAGTGGGCCGCGTCTACCTCATTCATTAGATGAAACGCAGGAGTATAACTTCCACTTCACGTCGGTCTTCTGTGAGGTCTGGGTATTTCCCTGGACCTTTCAATTAGTGCAACAAAGTGTTGTGGCCTACCACAGTTAAAAATGCTACATAATCTAAACATTTTCACATTTAAATGAGACTAGTAATACTAATACTCGCATATTAAATAGGCTAATAAATCTGAGCAATCTACGCTTATCCGTATTTATCCTGTATATCAGTACGTACTCATTATCAGTAATTATAAAGATAAACAATCAGTTTTATATAGAATCGTCAATGATAGGTACTAACAAATTAAAATAATAAATTGCGTTTGTTACTAAGAAACCGTATGCGTTGTTGTTTATTTGCTTACAAATAAACTATTAAAACATTGATGTTATTATTTGTAGACGTTAAAATAAGAGTCAAATTAGTAATTCTTGATTACAAACGTCAAATTATTATGCCCAATTTTTAGTAGTAGCTTCTATTAGTAACCATCTCAGAGGAAGGAATTTCAACCTTATACCTAGCTCTGGGTAAGTCCTCTTATCGATTGCGATCCAAGCCGAGGGTCGAAACTCCATCTGGGGCCCTTGGATCGTGCCAAGCCCCCCTTAGTCGATTGTCCAACTTTCGTTGGCAGGTTGTTGCGGAGTGTCTTCTTGTCGTCGTAGTGCACCAGTTACGTTGTTCTCCCGAGTCCGTGGGTCGTCTGCCGGCGGACCTCTTCCGCCGAAGCTAAAGCCAAAGGGCTAACAGCAAATTACACGTCACAAAAAGAAATTAAATACCACACTCGACCAACCAAGAACCGTGTATTATATTAAACAGTTATGATTTATATTGATTGTTACCACTTTTAAGTAAAATATTTCGAATGGGACAATCGAAATAAATTTTTCATTTGTCTAAAAGTAAAAAAAAATATATTACGTATATAATTTTGAAAGTTAACTATCCGATTTGGTGTTAAAATACAAAAATATTTAATATGTGCGTCAATTTTAAAAGTTTAATATATAAATGATAAATGGTACCTAATTAACTGAGAGAGCGCGGAAAAATGATAAATTATAGCATTAAGTAAAAAAAATGTCAGATAAAAATAGCACAGATTATTAGGCCAGTCGTGACTGTATGAAAGACAAATGGATTAGTAGCAAAACATTGACGCTCGACAGCCAGGTAAAAAATTCGCCCTGTATAATAGAACACATTTTATTACCAACGTCATATCTCGTGCATCCGTTTTAATCTATTTCTGGCCTATCAGTAACGTTAATGAATGCTATCATGTTAATAAAAGCGATATGCTTAATTGTATATCAATAAAGTATCAACGAAATCAGTTGCACTGGGCAGTCTGCAAGATGGCGTACAAAGTTGCCATTTTTCTGGCGACGCTGCTAGTTGGGAGCCTCGGTAAGTTAAATATAATACTAATCAGTATTAAAATAGATAATTATTACCACATGCTCAGCGGTGAAGGAAAACACCGATATTTCGAAGATATAAGAAGTCCGCTAATCAGCAGTGGGGCCGCGTGGTGGACTATGCCCTGATACCCTCTGTGCAGAGGAGGCCTTTGCCCAGCTGTGGAATAGGTTAACCGTCGCACATTGATATTTTCAACACTCGTAGGGTGTATAAGCCGATGCTTTACTTTTTTTTACTATAGCTTCCATTTTTGTTGGAAAACTTGCGAAGGAATAATAATGGGAACATTTGTATAGTTGTATGTATGGATCTATACAAGAATTTTCAATAACGTCTCCCAAATATATACCTGTGTAAGAGTCTTCTCAGTTGCACGAAAGGGTAGGTCTGGGTAAGTACCACGACATCACATAAAACCAACGTAAGGCGGAATTGTTATACTTTTGCGTTTCGTGGTTCTGGTGATTGAGTTAGCCGGGGCACACTTTATTATAAAGTGGCAATGCAACCCTAAGGTTGTTGCAAATATCAATGGGCGGCGGTTATCAGTTAACATCAGGTGAACCGCCAGCTCGCTTGCCACCTTCTCACATAAATAACAAACACATGAATTGTAATTCTGCTACAGCGTAAATTTGACGCCAGTTTGACGTAGAATACAGGATTTGCGAAGAACTAAGTTTGATTTTCACAGTCGCCATTAATTCCAATTTCTCGCGACCTATATTTGGATAAATGGCCGATTAAAGAACAATTAGCATGCTCCTCGATCAACCGACTCAGAACGTGGCTTTCACTATGGACGAATTTAGCGGCGCAAGTGTATGCCGAGTCCATTTGTCTGCTAATTTATTATCACCTTTCGCCTCGATTAATTGATAATTTTGAGCGTATTCGTGAGATTATCTTTAATTAATTGATAATTTTGTTCGTGGCGTATTGGTGATATTATCTTTATTACAATCGATTACATACAATGTTATCATTTCGAATTCTATATAGCCGTACCTAATTAAACCTGTTCATAAAAAAGAAAAGGGTGTACAGATTATCTATCCTAAATATATGTACGAGTGAGTATACCTAGTAAATTAAAGATTGAAAGCTATTTTTAGAATTTAAAATTGGTCGGTTTTAACGGTGGTAGGGCCACTCAGCAGCCTCGGTTGTTGCACGAATGAGCAGGCCCGTCCGAGTAAGTACCACGACCTCACAGAAGACCGGCGTAAAGTGGAAGTATAATACTTTCGCGTTTCTCTTCTTTCGTTGTAAACACATCTGGAACCCTCGAGTGTAGCAGATGTCACGGGCGGCGGCATTCACTTAGCATCAGGTGAACCGTCTGCTCGTTTGGCAACTTTTCACATAAAAAAATATTAAAATCATTTTCTTTTACAAGTAAGTTCTAAAATACATTAATTAGATAGTTTACCATAAAAAATTTTAAACAAAGATGAATATGTATAAAATGTATAAGTATGTATATGTATAAAATAAAATATAAATTCCAACGATTTTCACGAAATTTAGTATGCGGGTCAGTTTCAGGGGCGATGAATCGATCTGGCTAGGTTGAATTGAAATATATCATTAGGTTATAATAGCTTGGGCGGTCCCTAACCAGAAGACTGCGGTTCGAGTCTAGATGTTTATTTTCTCTTCTTTTTATTTTTTTCCTTTTATATCAAGTTCCTTCGTTTACCAGAAAAATCATTCAGGTATTTCAATCTTTAAATGACGCTCTAAAAATTAAATATTTGTGAATGTACTTACAGCCGCGTACTGACCATTGCTGTGTAGGACGACCCCCCACTAGATGGGGTGACGGCCTGTGCAAATGTGCGGGAGGGAAGTCGATGGATGGGAGGCTATGGGGGAGACCTATGTTCAGCAGTAAACTCAAACAGGCTGTAATGATGATGGTGAATGTACTTCAAATGAACGCGTTGACTGATAATTTTACATCGGTCCCCACCTCATCCAGGTCTCCCGAAGCCAGAGTTCGACGTCACCGATTTTTACGGCCACTCGGACCCCACGGGTCGCATCGTCGGCGGCTCCCCGGCCGCCAGCACCCCCTTTATGGTGGCCCTCTCCAGCGGTCTGCTGGTGCGCAACTTCCTCTGCGGCGGCTCCCTGGTCGGCGCGCGCAGCGTCCTCACCGCCGCCCACTGCATCAACGCGGTCTTCTCGGGCGGATCGCTTAGCAAGCACGTATTACTTTTTATAGGCCAACGATTGGCCGTCGACAACTGCGCGGTAAGTGCGCTGACTCAGCAAAAGACTTATAACTGAGTTAGCCCCTCACTCAGCGCACTATCGCCTTGAAGACGCTTTTTTTGTGACGTGTTGTTTGCTGTCAGCCCTTTGGCTTTGACAGCTTCGGCGGAAGTGGTCCGCGGGCAGACGACCCACGGACTCGGGATAACAACATAGCTCGTGCACGACGACGACACGACCGCTCCGCTGCACCCATCAACACCCTGCTAACGAAAGAGGGTTTCGGCAACCCTCCGGGTGGTGCAAATGTCCATGGGCGGCGGTTATCACTTAACATCAGGTGAACCGCCAGCTCGCTCGCCATCCTATCACATAAAAAACTGAGGCACTCGAATTACGCCGACTGGTGTAACTACATTGCAACTCCACAGACCGATATCACTTTTCGTATCATCCGTTCTACGCCATCTATCACAATCACCTATACACGTCATATAATGTAGAGCGGAACAGTTTTAGACAAGCGCCATCCTTCTTAAGGCGTCATTGTCGTACAACGGCCGTATTTGCAGCACGCTCCGCGTCACCGTCGGCACCAACCGGTGGAACGTCGGCGGGACCAGCTACAACGTCGCGAGGAACATCTCCCACCCGAACTACGTGCAGGCGACCATCAAGAACGACATAGGCCTGCTCATCACCACCGCTAACGTGGCGCCCTCGAACAGCGTGCGCACCATCGCGCTGAACTACGACTTCATCGGCGGCAACGTCGCCTCCAGGGTCACCGGGTGGGGCAGGGTTAGGGTAAGATGCGCTTCCCCTTTCCTCAGCCGCATTTGTCTTTTCTTTTTTGAAGTTACACACCCCTTGCAGATGCGCGCAACCCTATGGGTGTTGCAAATGTCCATGGGCGGCGTTTATCACTTAACATCGGGTGAACCGCCGGGTCGTTGGCCAATTTCTCACATAAAAAAACACTTCTTTATGCGCGTTATAACGCCCGATAAACCGCTTTTTTTTCACAGATGGCAGCATATTCTCAATCACATTCCGCCCGTTACAGTTCTCAATAAATATTGTAGATGGCGCTTTCATAATTTAATTATTTTTATTATTCACATCCTTTTCCAGTCTTTTCATTATTTTATTGTAATTAATTATTTGCATGCATTTAAAACTATTTTTTAATGATGCCAAAGAAGTATAACTTCCACGCGTGTACATTTTTTTAATTTATTTTGATTATTTTTTACGTAGCCTTTAGGATAACATTATCCTGTGTGTCCTGTATTTCACGCGGACAAACACCCAGATGCGACTATATATATGCGACTAATAACTATCTGTGAGTCACACAAATAGTTGTCTCGTTTGGGGGTCGAACCCAGGACCCCCGACACCGAAGCCAATACATTGGTAACTGCGCCACGGAGTCATCAAACATAAGTACACGCATCCATTTTTTGACGTGTAGTTTGTCGTTAGCCCGGCGGCTTTGACAGCTTCGGCGAAGAAGACTAACCGCTGTAGTAAACGTAGTGATTACATTCTCTTTGGTAGTATATCTGTAGGTTATCTGTAGACGAATGTAAAATATAGACTTTAGGGCGGTCTACATTTACAATTTTGAAATTTAATTTTATTCGTTGTTGGATAAAACGCACTTGAGGTGAATTCGTCGATCTTGATCGAAATTGAAATCATAAATTACATTTTGTACGTACTCGGTACATTTTACGAAAATACGTGGCTTCGTTTTAACCCTATATTTTATATATCTCAATTAGCATTGGAGTTAAAACTATTACTTACCATTATTGGCATAGAACTCGGTCACAACTACTTCTCTACGGTCGAATCACATAACCAAACTGCTAAAAAGGTTTTTTGCAGTTTGTTTTTGCATTTGACACCTCTTCACGACCGTTTGCAGCAAAACGGGGCGCTTTCCGCGGACCTGCTGCAGCTCCAGAAGAACACGATAGACGGCGCTCGCTGCGTCAGCGAGGTGGCGCGGGTGGCCAACCAGCTGAACATCAGGGCGCCCGCCGTGGAGCCCCACATCGAGCTGTGCACCTTCCACTCCCTCAACCACGGCACCTGCAACGTAAGCCACGGATATATACACCGAACTTACTCGTATATTCTGTAACAAAGCAAATTCTGCCATTACTGTACTGTACTGTGCTTTGACTATGGTAGGGCCACGCAACAGTGTTCGCTGCTGCACGAATGGGCAGGTCCGTCCGAGTAAGTACCACAACCTCGCAGAAGACCGGCGTGAAGTAGAAGTGTTACACTTCTGCGTTTCGTCTGGTGAGTGAGGTAGCCGGGGCCCGCTTTATTTAAAGGTGACAATTGCAACCATACGGGTGTTGCAAATGTCCATGGGCGGTGGTTACCACTTAACATCAGGCGAACCGCCAGTTCTTTTGCCACTTTCTCACATAAAAAAAAAATCTTTCCAGATTTCTTGACCCGATTGTATTTAGTGGATCTGTCCTGCGGCAGAGGGTGTGATTTCGATTCACACGACAGGGAAAATATTGCGAGACGAAAAAATTGTTCATTGGTTGCTTTGTAAATATATTGTAATAGCTTTTCTTTGTTTGGTTCTAGATAATGATGTTTACGTAAATGTTTATTGATTACACAAGAAGCGCCAGTCTTTTTTTTTGTTTTTTAAAAACATTGCACTTACTTTAGGATAACATTATCCTGAATAGTAAAGACGTTTTACAAAAATAAATTTCACGTGGACCAACACCCAGATGCGAAACAACTATCTGTGGGTCGCACAAATAGTTGTCCCGTGTGGGAATCGAACCCAAGACCCCCGACGTCGAAGCCAATAGCTTAACAACGGCGCCACCATACCTACCTCGTATTTATATAAAATATGAAATGGATGGGCCGGCCATATAGCTCGTAGAACCGATAACCGTTGAGGAAGAAAGGTTCTCGAGTGGCAGCCTCGTACTGGCCATCGCAGTGTGGGACGACCTCCACTAGATGGAGTGACGACCTGTGCAAGTGTGCGGGAAGTCGATGGATGCAGGTGGCTCAGGATCGTATTTCGTGGCAGTCTATGGGGGAGCGTATGTTCAGCAGTGGAGTCAAACAGGCTGAAATGATGGTGATGTACATGATAGCATCGGTTCCCCAGGGCGACAGCGGCAGCCCCCTGGTGCGCATCGACCGCGGCCAGCAGATAGGCATCGTCTCCTGGGGCCTGCCGTGCGCCCGCGGTGCGCCAGACATGTTCGTGAGGGTCAGCGCCTACAGGAGCTGGCTCCAGTCGAACATCCAATAAACTGACCCTCCGCTAACGCACGCATCTTTTTATTTATCGACCCACAAAATGCCCTCGTGGCAATTCTTTGAACCGCGTATTTGGTGAACATATACGAAAGTCGACATACGCTCGTGATCTTGTAGTGTTAACATATTTGATATAAAAGTAATCACATCAAACAGGCCTGATCGTGAATTTTATTTATGTGTTCTTGGAGATCAGTCTATCGAAGATTGTTTGTTGACACGTTGGAAATGAGCAGGAAACTTCTTTACGATGTCTTATTTCTAGGCATTGTCGTTTATTTACTGTTTGTTTGTATTTAAGACATTTCTAAGCTTCTGTCTTATTTCTGTAAATTGACGTTTTTTTTACTATTTGTATTTAATGAAACTTCATCAACAATGAAACATCATGTTTCAAAGTTTCATGGATGAGTTCTCTCGGAAGTCTCAATAAGTATTATAAAAGTATACTTACAACAGCTTTTAAATCCGACCAAGCCTAGTTACGGCTCATACCGTATGACTTACGTCATGCCCTACGACGAAAGTTAACTTCGGTATGAATTTGATAAGAAAAATGTTAATTGAAATCGATAGACGTTAACATTCATCACCATAGTGCTGCAGCAATTGACCTCTCCCTTTCCTTCACCGGACAACTAGACGGTCGACGGGGCGCCGTCATTTAGTTGTCGACATTCCGTGCTCTTAAAACGAACGTTTTTCCTCACGGTTCACTTTGCATATACCAAAGAAATAGAATGCTGACGTCTGTCTTTCCGTCTGAGTGTAACATGGCAAGGGATGGGACTTTCACTGAACTAGTTGCGACCAAATCACGCTCACCGTCAATGATATTGCGGAAAAGCAATTGAAAATTCTTATATAAAAAAAAAAACTGAAAGCATAAACATCAATCATTTCATCAATCACTTCCAAGGCAAAGGACAAATATGTTCGACTAATGTCCCTATATTCGTGATATCAGTGTCCGATAGTTCACTTCTGATTCAATATACTCGAGAAACTTGACTTCAAAATCCGATGCCAACACCATTCGATGACTCCGTGGCGCATTTGCCAAGTTATTGGCTTCGGCGTCGGGGGTCGTGGGTTCGATTCCCACACGGGACAAATATTTGTGCGACCCACAGATAGTTGTTTCGCATCTGGGTGTTTGTCCTCGTGTAATTTATGTTTGTAAAACGTCCTTACAACACAGGATAATGTTATCCTAAAGTGAGGGCAATTTTTAAAAAAAAAAAAAAAGTTGAAAAAAAAATTACATTGCTATTTTAATCAATGACTTATCAAGGATACATTCCCCAAGGAAAGTCAACGTCAGGAAGGCGGCTAGTCGTAAAAATAATAGCCGAAAACCGCTTAAAACATTATTCACATCTAGTGCCTATACCTCTTAGGTGGGTTATCCCACCAATAGGGCAGAAGGATGATGGGATTGTTGACTTATCACACGCTCAGCGATGAAGGGAAAAATTGTGAGGAAGCCTGCATATTTTCGAAATAATAACAAAAACATATATCAATGATATGTGAAGTCCGCCAATCCGCAGTGGGGTCGCGTGGTTGACTATGTCCTAATATGCTCTGTACCAAGGAAGCCTTTCCCAGCAGTGGGACCTCTATAGATTACTGTACTTTATTTGACTTACCCATGGCCTTATTTCAAATTACATGGTACAACCCATAGAGCAATATATACGTTATACTTCATTAAATAAACCTACATAAAGCATAACCCAGTAATATAATAATCTACTTTTATGATTTATCATGGGATGTCGTACTAATTGGTATCAAAACTATGGTAGATAACAATACTTTTGAGTTTATCTTCGGCAATCACGTTATTCGATGCAGTTGCGTAATTAATTAGATATAATTGATTATATATAAATACGTAGAACAAAGGAGTTCTAATAACGTTCTCCGCAGTGGAACTAAGATGTCTTTCAAAATTGGATTACTGCTGGTGACGGTGCTGGCGGGGAGCTTTGGTGAGTTGATTTTTTGCGAAAGATTGGTAAAACATCTACCGCTGATTTCTTGTGCAATATGACTGAAAAAAAAACTCATTTCCCAGATTTGATCGACTTCCTTAGGACATTTATTTCACATCACTAATGTGCTAATATTAGTGCTTTTAAGTTATGTAGGTTACTTAGCTCTCGCAGGTTCGAATCCTGTCGAAAGAAGGAAAAAAAACTATAAATTAACTACACATTTTAAGTTACATCTTATGTACAGAGACTAGCAATATAAAAAATGTGTGATTATAATATGATTATAGTTAAATGTCGTAATAATAGAACATAAATAATAAGACTTACCAGGCCAGCCGACAATCCTAGTGATTTTGCATATAATAAAATAGAAAACAATTCTAATTGTATGTATTATTATTATCATTCGTTTAACCTTTAAAGGTAATAAATTAAATATAACCAACAATGACACATACTGCGCAATTCGATTGCAACATGTTCAGATAGCAGCAGATTTTTAACAGATAAAACACTTGTAAACGATTCCAAAGCAAACCGTTTCGAATCCATATTCACCCGGTGGTAAATACTACACATGGTAAATTCCACTAGGAGGAATTTATAATATAGTATTATCTTAGTTTGTACCTGGTGAAACTCTATGTATTTCTGGTTTCCTCTAAGAGCTTAACATATAGTATCTACTTCCAATTGGAAATAGAATTTTATTATTTGTTAAAGTTTCTTATGGACATAAATCAAAGTCTGATGTATATGCCCGGTAGAGCACAGGCTCACGACTCTTTGGAGTCTAAACAAGCTCTCTGAAACGTAGACGTTATATCTCGCTATATACAGCGTGTCGTTACAATCGCGACAATAAATGAACACACACATAGAGGATAACTTTTAGAAATTGTATTAAGTATTTACATTCTTTAAACATCAATATTTACCGAGTTATTAAATTTTACAAAACAAACATTTTTAGAACACCCTTACGTATAAAACTGTAACGTAAAGTTCACAAAGCATATGAATGGGTTGAATGAATTTTAAAGAGACAAAACATACTGTCAGAAGGAGAGGCTTGTAATGCGAAGCTGTGGCAACGAATGAAAAGTCTCTGAATGTATGAATCAGTCAGTTGTAGTTGTGTAGGATGTTACAAATTTTGTTTGTTTTTTATTTGATTAGTTTGTTTGAAAAATATATTTTTTTAATAACGGATTTTTTGCACGTTTTATATTTTTTATGATTATTGGCAAGTAGCGTTATTTTACTTTTACTTACTTTACTTTAGCGTTAGACGTGTGTTAATTTATTGTCGCGATGGTAACGACACGCTGTATATTAAGTTAGTAGGTACTAGTGCTTTCCCTTCATTATGTAAATAACTACTATTTAAAGAAGCGTTGGTCTCGGGTACGGCGGATAATGTCACGTCGTTGTAAATGCCCATCATTTACAACACGCGACGGCAGATGCGTTGACAAATTTTTCTTTGACTTTAAAAAGTCAACGAAAAATTTGTCAAAGTTGAAAAGCTACGGTTGTAAGGCCGCGCAGCAGCCTCGGCTGTTGCACGAATGGGCAGGCTTGTCAGGGTAAGTACCACGACCTCACAGAAGACCGGCGTAAAGTGGAAGTATAATACTTTCGCGTTTCGTCTGGTGAGTGAGGTGGCCGGAGCCCAAATTTCAAAAGGTTGTCAACGCATCTGGAACTCTCGGGTGTAGCAGATGACCATGGGTGGCGGTATTCACTTAACATCAGGTGAACAGGTCTGCTCGCTTGGCAACTTTTCACATAAAAAAAATAGTGGTCGCCGATCACCTCACTCGCCAAACGAAATGCGAAAGCATAATACTTGCACTTCACGCTGCTCTTCAATCGTGCAACAGAAGTGGCGTGGCCCTCCCACAGTAAAACATTTTGTGCAAACCATAACTCGCAGTTTTGGACAATCAACAGCAATCCCGAACAGCAGGGATGACCTGTTCTTCCACGCTGACCGCAGTGCACGCATCGTGGGCGGGACACCGGCCGCCGAGGGCAGTGTACCCTACATGGTCGCCATGTCTAGCGGTCTGCTGGTCAGGAGTTTCACCTGCGGCGGCTCCCTGATCAGCAGCAGTCATGTGCTGACGGCTGCTCATTGCATCGCTGCGGTGTTCTCCCTCGGCTCCCTCAGCAGGTAGCCGAAGCTAGTTGTTTTAAAACTATGTGGATTAAAACGTACATTAATGGCTAACTGTAATTGATGACGAATCGACGATATTAAAAACTATCCCCAAAATTATTAATCTCTTTGCTTTTCATTATTATTACTGAGGACTCTATCTTTGGTAGATGTTTTAAAAATTAACTTTTAAGGCTATTACTGCGTTTCTTTCTTTGTGAACTTTTCGATGGGTTAAAAAGTAATGGGTTTCTTATAAGTAATTTGAAACATTAGCTTTATCATTGTATGTTTATTGCTAAAGTGAATCAATTTTAGCGTTGAATATATTTTTTTCAGATAACTTTTATAGCATACGGCTTTATAGGCTCATAAGAAATATGTTTATCGATTTCCAATCAAATATTCAGGGATAATTATATAATTAAAAAACTTAAACCTATATATACATATGTGTATATAGGTTTAAGGTTCAGACATTCAGTCACCGTACTGTTACAAGCACTTGAAGTTTTTCAAAGCATTCTCCTACATGCCCACAGTACCCTGCGAGTGACTGTTGGCACAAATCGCTGGAACGTCGGTGGGCAGTCCTACGCGATATCCCGCAACATCACCCACCAGCACTACGTGTCGTCCACCATCAAGAACGACATCGGTGTATTGGTAGTGGCGACGGAGGTGGCGCTCTCCACCACCGTTCAGTTGGTGCCACTGAGTTTCGACAACATCGGCGCGGGCGTGCTCTCTAGGGCGGCTGGTTGGGGAAGGATTCGGGTAAGATAATTAATTACATGAACCAAATCTACCGTGTCTACCTCGATATAACATGTTTAAATAATTACCTGCTTCTATTGCAAACGCAAATCTATATATTAATACGTGAATCAAAAACTTTTTACCCCTTTTTACGCAAATTGCGCGGACGGAGGTGTATGAAATTCCCCACACTTATAGTTTATATAGAGGAGTGCAGAATGCTAATATTTTTTTTAATTATGCTGAAAAATACATTAAATTAATAAAAAAACATTACACACACTACGATGTATAATTAATTATGGTCGAATTTCGACCACTGGGCGACCACTAGTACTAATACTCGTAAATATTGCAGTGTTTAAAGAGTTCACGCTAACGAATGGTTGTACTTTTAGGTTATACTTTATCCTAAAAGTAAAAGGACAGTATTATCTATAATTATCTTTTACAAGGAATACAGATTATGTACATTGTATACCTTTTTTTTTTAAAGTGACATTGCAATTTTTTCAAACTTATCCAAAGAATACTTAATATTATTTGCTTTTTATGTTTAAAATTTCTTTTTTAACAACAAATTAAGATAAATAAGCAAAAGTTCATTCTAGGCCTGTCCGTACTAGGCATGCCAACTATTTGCTCAAGATATGAGATATAAGATTCACATACATCTATACTCTTAATTTTTTCTTCTCTTCTTCTAGCACCTTCTTTCCTGCGTATTCTCCTTCTTTCTTGAATGGTCACCGCGTGATTCTAGCAAGGTGGCCCACTCTCCGCTGTGCTCCTGGAGCTGTTCGTCCGCACCATCAGCGGGCAGCAGTGCCAAGAGGAGATTGCGAGCTACGCGGAGGAGTTCAACGTGAGCGTCCCACCAGTGGATCCGGAGCTGGAGCTGTGCGTGTTCCATTCGCCAGGACATGGCATGTGCAATGTGAGTCTACTTGAATTATTACCCGACTGCGTCAGAAGAAGGGTTATGTATTTTGAGTGTATCTATGTATTGTATGTATGTATTTGTATTTATAATTGTTTGGCACGCTCTGCAGCCTGAGCGGCTTGATGGATTTTAGCTTAAGAGGTGTCGTTAGATTCTTATTTACTGTAAAAATGACACTGGGTATATCAAAATTAAAAATTACACAGAAACGCAGTCGGGTTTTTTAGTTTTGTAAATTATATTTAGCGTCAGTATTTCCGTCCGATTACAACTTAGGCGTCTTCAAGGCAAGGGTGAATGAAGGTTTTTACTGAGCTAGCGCGCTTTCCAACAACGGACCAGTCGCCAGTTACCATCAGTTGGGATGGCAGTCGAGTGCTGGCAAGTTTTGAATTAAAAAAAAAAGATTTACTATTTTTTTATTTAATCTTCATTGCCAACCTTAAGTAAAATAACTCGAAACAAGTAAAACAACGTCCCGAATTAAGGTTTCTTCTCATTGCCACTTTATCCTTTACTCTTGCAGGGTGACAGTGGCAGCGCTTTGGTGAACGTGGCGAACGGACGGCAGATTGGCATCGTGTCCTGGGGAATGCCCTGCGCCAGGGGAGCCCCCGACATGTTCGTACGCGTCAGCGCCTACGAGAATTGGCTGCAGCAATCAATGGCGTAGTCACGTAGGCCGTAGCGATTCGTAGCACGGGCGGATTGACTCACGGCCGGTTTCTGATACACTGATCATCCTAGAAGTTAACTACTCAGCTGTCAAATGGCTTCTCAAATGACATTTGAGTTGTCAAAAGGGTGGTTAAACTCTCTGAATCGATCAGAATCATCTTCTTAATGATTAGAATGATCAATTCACATTCACAAAATTGTACCAACCTTTTGGCAACTCAAATGACATTTGAAAAGCCATTTGACAGCTGATTAGTTAATTTCTACGATGACAAGTATTGCAGAAACCGGGCGTCAGTGTTACTACTAATTCTTATATAAGTAGGTTGATTCGTTACACAGATCTGTACCATCAATTTTTAGAAATTCTCGAAGGCAGTGAAATATAATACGTGTTTATGTCATCGACTGTTTTAATGTTACTTGCCACAAATAAACTTCTGGCTACTAAGATCAGAATAGCTGATGTTTTATTTCATTTTCCTATCAATAAAACTTATTAAAGTACAATCTAACTTTTTTATTTTATTGTTCAGTCACTTCTGGTATGAAGGTTGAGTACTGACAAATATTCAACTTTGGTGTTAATCGGAGATTTTGTAAACAAGTTAAATGTAAATTGAATAAATACTGACTAATATTTTTTTAATTCAAAATCAAAATCAAAATCAAAAATATATTTATTCAAATAGACGCTTGCGCGCTCTTATGAATCGTCAAATTTTACATCAAAGATTATGTGTATAGGTTCGTAAGGTACCACCGGTTCGGAAAGCGGTTTCTGTTGAGAAGAGACCGGCAAGAAACTCAACAGTTGCTCTTTTTCAAAAATATCAATTTACAATATAATAAACAGGTACAATAGTCTTATTCTAGCCTACGTAAGTATCAACAGTATCAACTCCACGCATTGGCGTCGTCGAGATATTCCGAAATGGTATAGTATGCTTTAATCATTAGTTGAATTTTTAATTTTACATTTAAATTGGTCAAGCGGCAGATTTAATATCGACTGTGGGATAATTAAATGATTTTATTGAAAATAAAGATTAAAATGATGTAGACAATGTGCTAATAGTTAAAAATAATTCGGTAGGTCCTAGATACTAGTCATCACACCACTCTCCTCATCAATTTAGGGCATAGATCAGACAAAAAAATATGATCGTTGCACGCGCGTAACCAGGGTAATTATGTAAAAGGCTTTTAGATTTAGCGGTTGACTTGATAGGAATTTCACACGCCCAACGATTTTATTTTTATTAACTTCCGGAAATGTAAGGATGCAGGAATCCTTAAATTATTCAATAAATTCTTCCCCAAGATGGGGCTGAGGAATTCCTCGAAGCTGCTGATCCTCATAAACACTTCGGGAATGGCTCGGGCGCAGGGGAAAACCCATGAAGCAATTCCGATCTGGATAACTGTTTCTTTATTAATTAATGGGCTGCCCGAATCACCTAAATGTCATACAGTATTTTTTGTTTACCTTGTATTTATTTTCATTTACCTTGAGAAGCATAAATCTTGCTGTGAGCGATGGTACTTACATGGCACATGCCACGTCCGAAATTGTAGGGTGCAAATGAAAATGCAGACTGAGTTTGCAATATAATATATATAAATAATAAATTCAATTTAATGACGTCGTATCTGAATACCTTTTTTTATTTCTGCATCAAAATACCAACACGTGAGTGAAATGGATTAAAATAAAAATAAAGCGTTTAAATGTTGAAAATCCTGTTTCATTCGAGATTTATCTCATTACGCGCTCGCCGAAGCCGTAGTAAACTATTTACGCAGGTTAGTATTTCTAATCTTGTAATCATGTTTTGTTCACCTTTACATGACAATCTAATGCTAAGGGTGACTGCTATACATAACAACGCCTCTTTTCATAAATGCTTCTAAAATATCTTAGTAATGAAACTAAAAATATATAATTATATATTTGCATATTCCTTATATTTACGAGTATATGCATATGTCTTATTTAATTTTTCTTCTATAATAATATATTGTTATTTTTTGCATCCCTTGCTGCACCTACCATTAGCTTCCTAACCTACCAAGCATGCCTTTGGGCATCAAGTCCGCCCTTTACCTTTTTATTAAGTTTAACAATAAAGAAAAAATTAAAGATAATAAAAAAATACCTAAAAGTTAAATCCATACGAACGTAAAATGGAAGGTAAACTTCCGATGTCAAAATTCATTATTATTTCTGTATTGCTTTAAAAGTAATTTCAGTCATATACTTCCGGCTCAAAAATGAAGTCCGGGCCATTAGGCCCGGACTTCATTTTTGAGCTACAAAATGTACATTCAGTAATACGAAACTAGAAAAAGTCGTTAAGAAATTCATCAAATGTAAAAAGTATTGTTTTACAGAAAAACAAATTAAAAAAAGTAAAGTATCAGCCTATACGTGTCCCACAGCTGGGTAAAGGCCTCCTCTGTACAGAGGGTATCAGGGCATTGTCCACCACGCGGCCCCACTGCGGATTGGCGGACTTCACATATCTTCGAAAATGTTTTTTGTTATTATTTCGAAAATATGCAGGTTTCCTCACGATGTTTTCCTTCACCGCTGAGCACGTGATAATTCAGCACTTGAAATTAACACTTTCATTAGTGCCGGCACCGAGGATCGAACTCAAGTCGCTCGAGTATATTCAATTAAAGGCCCGGACACTGACACGGCTCTTTAAAACAAATTTTAAACCATTTTAACTGGAAAATAATGAGAAGTAACATTTATTTGAATTAAAAAAATAGTTGATATCGTAATAGAAATCGCAGCCATTCTCAACAAATCGAAAGAAGAATATGACTATTTGTAACTCTCTCATTATTATATGTCATCGGTAAGGTATCGATATATATTAATAAAACTTTAATCCAATGAATGAATATAATTGTGCCCTATAGATTTTCTTGTGGTATTATCCGATAAAAAGAAATTATTATCGTGTAAGTAAAAATTAAAAAAATACTTTTGAGACATATAAATCGCATACGACTGGATCTCAATGAGCTATAATGTTGATATTCGATGTAATCTAGTAATAGCGATATTGAAACGAATATCTGCTGTGATCTTCTGATAAAACGGCTAAATGACTTCGCGTTTTCGCTGACCAATATTATCTGTTGTAGTGAAAGTCCTACCTAAGCAAATGATTTGTAGACAACAAAAAGCGTTATGATTCACATAATATATTATTCGCACCTCATATCATATCGTCATATTTTATAATCCTTTAATAAAGCAAGAACAACACGTCTTTTCAGACGCTGCGCATTTGGAAAGCGTACAATAATTGCGTTCAATAACTTTAATTCTGCTTGTATGATCTTTGACATTGAAAGGTCGGCAATTCCGATTGTTTTTATGCCTGCGACTTTGGCTACGAAAATTTTTAATCGAAGTTTTGGCAAAGATCCAAATGTGTGAGATTCGAAGTGCAACAAAGAAATATATATTCTCATGAGTAAGGTTCTCTTTATGGAGAGTAAAATTCCTATAATCAATATATATCAATTCCTCGTCGATGTTTAGGTATTGTGTCCCTCAGGGTTAGAGACAAGCCAGAGACTTTGAAATGCTTTTAACTGTGGTAGGACCATGCAATAGATGAATGGAAAAGGACCATGTTCACTGCTGCACGAATGGGCAGGTCCGTCCGGGTTAGTACCACGACTTCTCAGAAGACCGGCTTGTTAGTAGAAGTGTTACATTTCTGCGTTTCATCTGGTGAGTGAGGTAGCCGAGGCACACTTTATTAATCGAGCTGTAACAACGAAAAATAGAGAGAAAACCTGTACTTCGAGAAGGAATATGATCGACAGACCGAAAATTGCATATATAGAGGTACCCAGGTACTGAAATTTAGATTTCAGATACGCTGGGGTAAAAGGATCGTTAATGATATTGCGTACAGAGAACTCGAAGATTCCGCCGTTTGAATATATTCAACCAATTTAGTCAACAGCGATATGGAGAGATATGGTCAAACTTTTGAAGAACACAAATTTTTTATTCACATGTTAGTACAATTTCTTCTACAAATTTTGTACTGCAACGTTAGTACTCACGCAATTGAGTATTCTGTGAGATGGTATTTCTTAATTTAAGTCTTTCGAAAGAGAAGCCATGGTTGACATAGTAAACAATAAAGGAACAAAGAGTATTTTCTTAAAAGCCTTTATTTACACATTTTATATCGTAAAACTAAATTAAATCTAAATTACCCTAGTTAAAAGTGTTTTCCTTAATTTCTATTTAACTTAAACCCAAGATGGGGCTGAGGAATTCTTCGAAGCTACTTATTCTGACGTACACGTCGGGAGCCCCAAGGGCGCAGGCGAAGCCCCACGACACTATCCCGATCTGATGTCCAGTCTTCCGGGAGACCAACGCACTGCCAGAATCTCCCTACAAACATGAAATAACATCAAACAATTTTGCGGTATGTTAACGCAACGGCTTGGCGTCATCCAACAAACATCAAAATATTTGTTCGCATTATAACTTGTATAATAAATAATACTTTAGCAAATATTTACGTGATACAAGTTATTGCTTAAGTTCCGTTTCACTTAAACCTTGTAAGCCAATGATATAATACACGACAATTTTAATTCTTTAACAGAGGTATTTATTTAACAAGGCTTACCAACTAAATACATATAGAAACAATTATTATGAGGTGTACTTAAACATTGTATGTATGCATTTAAATTAAAGGTAAACACAACATAAAATAAAAGACTTCCTTTAAGGAGAACAGTAACCTATAAAACTATCACTACAATAAAATAATAAAATGAGAACAAATAAAAAACAACCTAACTTATAATGTATAAATAGAAAAGAGCGAGGAAGGAAAAAAACTTTTAAAATGAAAAAAATATTGGGCTGTGTAATGTGTTAGCACCTTACTCTTTAAAATGTTTAAGCTATCAAAATGGATATCCACATCACAATTTTGAAATGTTGAATTGAATGCATTCAACAAAGATGATAAAGGTGTGTTTCTGCCATATTCATTACGGCTCTTTTTAATATGAAACGGTTTGTAGTTATGTATATTACGGTATGTAGTTGGAGGTAATGTGGTATATAGTAGTAGACGTGACAAGCGGTATGCCTATCGTCTCTCTATGATAATGATTGTCAAATACCTCAACAAAACTACAATATCAATGACTCGTATGTGAAATTTCAAACGGTGGTAGTGCCACGCAGCAGCGTCGGCTGTTGCACGAATGGGCAGGCTCGTCCGGGTAAGTACCACGACCTCACAGAACACCGGCGTCTAATGGAAGTATAATACTTTCGCGTTTCGTCTGGTGAGTGAGGTAGCCGAAGCCCAATTTTTAAAAGGCTATCAACGCATCTGCAACCCTCGGGTGTAGCGGATGTCCATGGGCGGCGGTATTCACTTAACATCAGGTGAACCCTGCTCGCTTGGCAATTTTTCACATAAAAAATGTGATTGTTTTTTTTTTATCCGTACTAGATATAAGAACTATTCGGTCGCATTATTTCTGACATCAATATGTAGTACTTATTAAACCTTCTGCAAAATTTATCTTCGCAAAAAAGCCCTCATTCAATAACGCTGAACCCCTCGTTGTAGGCATCCTCATCAAAAATAAATTGGTAACTTTACACGTTAGACACTGAACTGATACAATTATTACAAGATACTGAGTATAATTATATATTTGCCAATAAGTGTTATCGAACTCTTTTTGGTAGATCCTGGTTATCGTGATTCGGAAATTGAAATCCTATCATTAACCACGACAAAAGGCAGCAATAATTAGACATTATAAATATTACTTACATTGCACATGCCGTGTCCCGGCGAATGGAAAGTGCATATCTCTACTTTGGGGTCCAAAGGGGGTGAGAAGCCCCACAACGTTGAAGCCTCGCGTATACCCTCAGCACAGTCCTCAGCAGAAATGGTCTCCAGATAAAGCAGCTGCAGGTAATCGGGAACTGTATACAAGCTCTGGAAAAAATGTAATTGAATAATAATTCACCAGAGCCGCGATAGTTCAGTATCCGAGCGCTCGCTTTTAATTATGATATAAGTACTTGAGCTACTTGAGATCATGTCCCGGTGCCGGCACCATGAAATTGTTAATTGCAATTTTAATTCTTAGTCAAACATCGGAAGGAAACCTGCAATAGATTCGAAATAATAACAATGGATATGTTATTAGAAAGAAGTATGTGAAGTCTTCAATCCCCAGTGGTGAACTATGCCCTCCTTACAGACAGTGGACGTAGGACGTACACAAACTGTTACTTTACTTTGCTTTTTTTTTAAATCATTCACCTAAATCACTTTTTTGATAAATTCACTCCGTTTATGCCTGTCGACTTATTTGTTGATAGACTATGAACGCTGATTATAGAATGCACTGAGGAATAGACTCTCACATCGCGAATCCCTGTCTACAAACATGCAGTCAACTTTTGCAACAACAAATCATCACTCAGGCAGGACTGAGGTACAATGTCCTCACCCCATCGTTAACTAGGGCTACCGCCATTAATCTTCTTATTCAGTTATCAGTAACAGCTCTCCTTACCCCAAGTCTTCCCCAACCTGTCGCGTAGCTCTTCTCGCCGCCATCTATCCATTTAAAGTTTAAGGCTATGACGGCCACTGTACTGCTGAGCTTCAACTCCTCAGTGAGGTATAGAATTCCAATGTCATTCTTGATATTTTCCCAGTCCCATTCGGGGTGGTTAATGTGATGGCTGAATCTGGCGACGATGGCATCAGAATCCCACCTACTTGAGCCTACTATCGCGTGAAAGGTTCTGAAATCATATGAATGGTTCAATAAAGAAAAACATCCGTTTACATAATTTTCATCAGGTTTTGCGATTGCTCTTCGAAATCAAGGCGAACAGGATTTTATAAACTTAGCGTGTTTATTACTTAAGGACAATGTCACCATGAAATTGGGTTAAGAAAAGAGCTCAAACTTTGTTTAAAACAAAACGAGTCTTACACAGGTTTTATCTTAAATGCACGCGGACAATAGTCCTTATCCGAAACAATTAGCAGTATGTTATACAATCTGTCCTCCCTTAATCAGGTATCGGCGGTGGCGACCAAGATTTCATTACTATGTGATGTCTATCTTAATTTCTTTAAACAGTATCTGTACAGAGGAAGTATTTATTCGAAGTAGTTTATGTTACCAAGTGGAGTTTATTAGCTAAATCGCCTGGCTAGCTTTTGTCTGATCTGATCATACATACAGCCGATTCCACTGCTATCGCCTTTCACAAGATGAGTTTGGAGAATTACACAAGGCATCTGCAACGCTAAGTTGTTGGGGTCACGCCGCCGCCGAGGCGGTTATCACTTAACATCAGGTGAAGAATTGGTCGCTTGGCAACTTTTCATATGAAAACCTTCACAGACGATTAACTGCTAACGTACTTACGGATACAGCTGACCACCCCACATGACCATCGGTTCTATGCAATGGGCGGCGGTAAGTACGTGCCGTTTGGAGACTATGGAGCCACCGCACATCAGACCTTTGATGGTGTCGCCCCAAACTAGTGCGGCCATGTGTGGTGCGTACCCGGAGGGTGCTTCCACTCCGCCCACTATTCGCGACGTGCCGTCTCCGTTCAGCAACTCGAAGGGATGTCCTGAGAATAATTTGCTTTGCAAGCGATGCATGCGAATGCGAACTAATAATGCGGACTAATAATCATGATCTACATCTTTTCAGCCTGTTTTAGTCCAGTGCTGTACATAGGAATCCCCCATTGACTGACACGAAGCACGATCCTCACTCATCGAATCCCCGCAATATTTTTTTTCTTTCTCTTTTTTAAAAAACATTTACTTACTTTAAGATAACATTATCCTGTGTTGTAAGGACGTTTTACAAACATAAATTTCACGCGGACTAACACCCGCATGCGAAACAACTTTCCTATGGGTCACACAAATAGTTGTCTCGTGTGGGAATCGAACCCACGACTCCCGAAGCCGACGCCCTTGGCAACTGCGCCTCGGAGTCATCCTGAAAGCTTATTCACTGAAATGACCAATACGAGGTTGCCCCCCTGAGAACCTTTGCCCTCCATTGAACAAACTCACCACGGATCCATTCCGAAAAATTTGTTCGAAATGGTTAGTTTGGTGACCATTTTGTAAAAATCTTAAGCTTAATGTTTTCATTGGAATAATCGTCGAAGATGTTCAATAGTTATTGTTAAGGTATGCTCAAGGAAGATGTGGGTTCGTTTCCCGCAGCTGCCAAAAACTTTTCGTCCTTTTTTCTACTTAATAATACTAAAGTGTTAAGTAAACAATTTCATATTCACCAGTAACAGCAACTACAACCGCCGCTACAATTCCTAATGCTGCCAACATTATAGTATTCTTCGTTCAGAGAAAGTGTTGCGTTCGTTTTTATTCGATTCATATTTATACGAAATGATAATTGCCGGAATCTGTGGTATCAGCGGATTTATTTTCTAATAATGAGTTTAAACAGTAGCGCGTTCCCGTTTCCTACATTAGTGAAGATAAAACCGTTAAAAATTGAAGAAACATCAACGGAATAGTCCTTGAACTAATTGAAGTACGTCGATACTGTTATATTTTGAAATTAATCAGTTATAACATTATTAGCAAGGCCATGACAGTTTTTTACATTTAGATTTTTATAGAAATAATAATGCCGCGCCGTGATAGCTCAGTGTCCGGGCGCTCGCCTTTATTTCAATATACTCGAGCAACCTGAGTTCGATCCCCGGAGCCGGCACCAATGAAATTGTTAATTTTAAGTGTCGAATTATCACGGGGCTCAGCGGCGAAGGAAAACGTCGTGAGGAAACATGCATATTTTCGAAATAATAACTAAAAAAAATATTTCGAAGATAGGTGAAGGTAATAGGCAGTGGGGCCGCGTGGTGACTATGCCCTGATACCCTCTGTACAAAGGAGGCCTTTGCCCAGCAGTGGGACAAGTATAGGCTGATTGGTACTTTACTTTTTTAATTTTAGAAATAATAATAAACAGACAGATATGCATTAAACGCTAAACTAGATTGCTGATTTCCACACAGACGAAAATCGGAACGACTTTTTAACCGACTTAAAAAGGGAGGATTTTATCAATTAGTCGAAGTCTTTTGAAGTCGAACGATTATGTAATATTTGTTAACAAATATGTACTTGTTACGCTGTTTTCGCTCCTCTTAATGCTTGACGCATCTATTGTACTTTTACAGCTTACAAAAAAATTGCCATTATGTTTATATCACATAATTTCGATAGAATTTACCATATAGACGTAATTATTAATTGGGAAAGTAAGATTAAAATTAAACTATCAATAAAAATTCCTTACATCGATAAACGATGACAATTATCGATGGAAACGAAATTTTGTCAGTCTACGATAAAGTTGGATTAACCTAGTGCGGGGTCGTTGACCTATATTCACCGATTTCAAACCTTATATGTTTTGTTTTATTTCTTCTTTACATCTTTTTAGTTCTTTGTTACATCGTCAAGTTTTCATAAATTAATTATGTTATGTTGTTCTTATATCCTTTAAGAAACCACTAGCTCGTTCGCCACCTTCTCTTTTAAAAAATATCTATTCTCGTTGCAACTAAGGGTAAAAATTGAAATATTAACTGAAAAGGAAAAAAACATGAAAACATTATTATTAGATACAACTCGTTGTATTAATTTATTACTCATTGTATTAACATTAATTGGTTTATTCACTGATAGATTGCTCGCCAGTTTGTAAGATATAGAAAAAAGATAAGATATTTTAGTATCTTAGAAGAACCGAGTAGTTCGTTGATCTTCTTAATGACATTCTTAATGATCAGAATGATCAATTCAAAGAGTTTAACAATACTTTTGGCAACTCAAATAACAAAGCCATTTTGAAAAGCCATTTGACAGCTGATTCAACCTCTACGAAAGTCAGTGTTTCAGAAGCCGGGCGATTTAGCAGCGCGCCTATTTAGACTTTTTTTTTTAGAAATGAAAGAGAACTGAAACAAAACACGATGACGCGATGATTTGGCTGTCGTTCGAGTTAATATTAATATTTAATTAATAATTACAACTGTCTGACTTCAATCAGCACATGAAATCAGGGGTCTCGGCTATTAAAATATTTTACATTAAAATTAAAGTAAAATAATAGCCTATCTATGTCCCACTGCGGGGCAATGTCCTCTTCTGTACGGAAGGTGTAGTTCAGGAAACAGTAGTGTTTTACCTACCATTGAAAATCATATTATGTCCGGAGCCTTCAGGCATTACAGTCTTTTGAGAAAGTTAACAGTGATACCAGAATCTCTTTAATATTTTGAAAAATAAAATCTGAGAAGTCACAATCATAAGCTGTACTAAACGACATTTCTTCACGTTTTTTAGATATGTCACAACAAGTTTTGCATTGTAGCAGTACCGAGGAATGACTTAAATCGGGAACGATTTGTTCTTAAAACATCAGAACGGTTAGAACGAAATCGTTCTGGTTGTATCGGACTCATACTTTATCGCTAAACTATATTATAAGTACCTCGATCTTGTATGCCGTTTACTTAAGATCCCCCATCCATTCTTTTTGGAGTTTTGGAGTTAGTTAATACAGTTGATAAAAAACTGGGAGTGACATGGGCGGACTGTAAAATTCTTTCCGTCAGAAAAAAAAAATTACTAACATCATCGATATTTTTCAAGAACTGCAAAAATTCCTCTTTATTGACCGAAGAACGACAGGATATAAGTTTCGATTTTTTAAGATTGCATCTTGTCTTTGATTGTGTCTACTACGCTACTAGGCCCAACGAATACACAGCAATTTCTTTATCAAAAACTATCACTGTCATTAACACACTAAGCATTTAAATCCTCCCATTTTTAAAGCGTCACTGCATCATTAACATATTATTGCAATCGCTTCAACGGATCTATCCGTTGCAGTATTTATTTTATCAAACTGTTTAATCAAATCATTCACCTCCAATTCAATGAACGCCGGCTTACTAGATTTTCAGAATAACGAACATTCGTCTAATTTTTAAATTTTATAGTGTTGTAATGATTTTAACAGTTTCAAATGGTCGAAAGACGTTTTTTGAGTGGGCTGCTGTTTGAAATTTCAAGTCAAATCGAATTCAAATTTAAGGGCCAACTTGACCGGCACCTCGTTTGAAAAATTGATCCAGTGAAGAGTTGCCCGTGTTCATTACCACGTAGAACAGGCGTAAGAGACCATTCGGGTACCAGTTCAGAGAAGGGTAGGCACCCATGCTAAATACTTTTGGATTTGTTTTTTACGTATATGCATAACTTTTTATATCAATTCAAATTAAAAATTTTACACTGACTAATCGTTTTCATTTTTGAGTTTGATAGAAAATAGAATACAGACTGTGCTGAAAAACAGTATAGTAAAATCTTCCGAGGAAGTTTGTCAACTTCATTTTGACGGCGCCAAAAAGAATACAGCTATTCTTTTGATAAATATTAATTACTTATAATTGATAATCGATTAATTACTTATTAGAAATCTAAAATTCGAGAATTTGTTTGCAACGCCCAAGCATACTCGCGTTAATGGGCATAATGTATTTATAGCCGTAAAACTTTTAAATCAGGCCATGTATTTAATATCACAGACATAGAGACAGTATTTTTAAATGCCCAAATGATAACCTATCATATAATATTTTCCACTGGACACGAAGTGCTCTCTCTGGAAAACTATACAATTTCAGGGATAAATGAGATCCATGCTTCCCAACAGGCCTCCAAATTCTCGTGTGCCCAAGGGCTCCAGTATGGCCTAAGATGGCGTCGGTAATATATTTTTGTACAGTCATGCCAAAAATCTTTTTATATGTTTGTTACTAAAAACTGTTTACATTTAAATTAAATTAAAGTCTTCTGAGTCGTCTATTTCCTGTTTGCCATTTCTTCGTATTCGTCGGTATTAAAATGTTTCCATTAAAAAAATAAAGTTCATTGATTTATGTTATGACTAATTAAATTCAAAACAGATTTGTATCGCCGTATTGCAATTAGTTAAAGGACTGTTGTGTTAATGTTTATTTCATTAATAGCGGTTTCTTTATCTTCACTTATTTCAAAGTCACGGACACGCTATTGTTTGAGTTCATTATAAGAAAATAAATCCGCTGATACCGTAGATACTAGCAATAATGATTTCGTATAAATATGATTTGATTTAAATCGAAAGCAACAATTTCTCTCAATCAAGAGTAGTACAATGTTAGCAACACTAGCAACTGTCGCAGTGCTTGGACTTGCTGTTACTGGTAAACAAGAAATAGTTTACTTAACTGTTTAAAATTAAGTCTAGTAACAGGTGACAGCTAGTAACAGAGACTAGCTGGACTTGTGACATCAGTGACTTTTCTTATTTCACCTGTGCTCTGTGCAAAGCGACAGGCCTGTCACTTGTCACGGCTGGGTCTTAATAATCTCAGTTAGTAATCTCAGTTAAATATGGCATATAGATAGGTTTCCGAGTTGCAGCCTCGTTGTGTAGGACAACCCCTCATAAGATGGAGTGGCGACCTGTGCAAATATGCAGGAAGCCGATGGATCCATGTGGCTCAGGATCGTGCTTCGTGGAGTCTATGGGCATATACGCATATGTTCAGCATTGG